TGGGTCTTGAAGTAGAATGAATTCCAGTTTTTTGAGACACTACTATACTGATTTCCAAAGTGGTTGTACAAGTTTGCACTCACACGAGCAATGAAGGTATGGTCCTCTACTCCACATCCTCTTCAGCATAACTTTAAGCCATGGTGATCTGATAAGACAGGGAGATTATTCCAAATTTTTTCTATCTATTGAGATTTTCTTGACTACCAGGTATGCTATCAATTTTAGAGAAGGTTCCAAGAGGTGCTGAGAAGGTATATTCTTTTGTGTTTGGGTAAAATGTTCTATAAATGTCTGTTCAGCCCATTTGAGTCAAATTATCTGTTAATTCCCTTATTTCTCTATTAAGTTTCTGTCTGGCAGACCTGTCTATTAATGAAAATGGGTTATTGAAGTTTCCCAGTATTGGCATGTAGGGTTTGAAGTGTAGTTTAAGCTTTATTTATTTATTTTTTATAAATTGGGGATACCCTTGTATTTGAGGCATAGATGTTCAGAATTGAGACTTCATCTTGATGGATTTTTCCTGGGATGAATATGAAATGTCCATCTCCATCTCTTTTGACTAATTTTAGCTTGAAATATACTTTGTTAGATATTAGGATAGCTACAACAGCTTGTTTCTTATGTCCATTGATTGGAAAACCTTCTCCCAACTTTTTACTATGAGGTAATGTCTGTCTTTGAGGTTGAGGTGAGTTTCTTGTATGCAGCAGAAGGATGGATCCTGTTTTGTATACATTCTGTTAGTTTGTATCTCTTTATAGGTGAATTGAGTCCATTAATATTAAGGGATATTAATGACCTGTGATTGTTAATTCCTATTAATTTTTGGTTTTGTTGTTGGTGTTGGTACTGTGATTCCCTTCTTTGGGGTTTGCTGGTGTGAGTTTATCTCTGTGTTTCTTGAGGATGCAGTTAACTTCCTTGAGTTCAAATTTTTCTTCTAGTACTTTCTGTAGAGCTGAATTTGTGGATAGATATTGTTTGAATCTGGTTTTATCATGAAATATCTTGCTTTCTTTGTCTAGGGTGATTGAAAGTTTTGCTGGGTATATTAGTCTGGGCTGGCATCCGTGGTCTCTTAGTGTCTGCAGAACATTTCTGGGACTTTCTGGCTTTCAAAGTCTCCATTAAGAAGTCAGGTGTTATTCTGATAGGTCTGCCTTTATATGTTACTTGAACTTTTTTCTTTGCAGCTCTTAATATTCTTTCTTTATTCTATATGTTTTGTGTTTTGATTATTAAATGACAAGGGAATTTTTTTTAATCTGGTATATTTGGTGTTCTGTAAACTTCTAGTACCTTCATAGGGATATCCTTCTTTAGGTTGTGAAAGTTTTCTTGTATGACCTTGTTGAATATATTTTCTGTGCCTTTGAGCTGGATTTCTTCTTTTTTTATCCCTAATACTTTTAGGTTTGGTCTTTTCATGGTGTCCCAGATTTCCTGGATATTTTGTTTTAAGAATTTGTTAGATTTAATGTTTTCTTTGACCGATGAATCTGATTCCTCTATCATATCTTCAGCACCTGAGATTCTATATTCCATTTCTTAAAGTTTTCCTTCCCCCAGCTTTGGCTTTTGAGACAGTTTCTCCCTGAAGCTTTGAAGCCTGTCTTGGCACTCACTCTGTAAACCAGGAGGGCCTCAAACTCATAGCATTCACCTGCCTTTGTTTCCCAAGTGCTGGGATTAAGGGTGTGCACCACCACTGCCCCCTCCATCTCTTAAATTCTATTGATTATGCTTGCATCTGTAGTTCCTGTTTGTTTACCCAGATTTTCCATTTCCAAAATTCCCTCAGTTTGTGTGTGTGTGTGTGTGTGTGTTTTATTGCCTATACTTCAATTTTTAGGATTTGAACTGTTTCCTTCACCTGTTTGATTGGTTTTCTTGGTTTTCTTTAAAGGATTTACTGATTTCTTCCAATTTTTTGTTTGTCTTCTCCTCCACTTCTTTAAAGGAAATTTTTATTTCCTCTTTAGGGGCCTCTATTATCTTTATAAAGTTATTTTTAAGGTTGTTTTCTTCTGCTTCCTCTGCATTGGGATCAGCAGGTCTTGCTGGTGTGGAACCACTAGGTTCTGGTGGCCCATGTTGTTCTTTATGTTGTTGAGTGTATTCTTACACTGCCGTCGACCTGTCGGGGTTTGGGGTAATTATAGGTACAGTGTTGATTCTTTCTCTCATCAGTACAGGTGGAGCCTGTGCCTCCAGGGGCTCTCTGCTGACTGGCTGCTAGGGCTGCAATGAGGGGTAGAGGGGCATGAATATGCCCCATGGCCTAGGGCCTGTAGAACCTGGGGCTTTCCAGCTGGAAAACCTGTTGCTCGTCTGTTCCTCCCGTTGGTACCAGAGGACCCTGTTCCTCTGGGGACCTCTGCTGACGGGCTGCTGGAAACTTTCCTCTGTTTATATTCAGTCTATTGGTATACCATCTTCTAACTTCGATAATGAACAGGGAGAGATTTTTAAATAAAGCCTCTGAGTATGAAGAAAATAGACTCAAACAATAGAGAAGATAATGTCAAATGGTACGTCTTTGAAAACAAGTGGGATGTTTAACACCCTGGCCAAGACAGGGGTGATGACACACGCCTATAATACAGGAACACTGGAGGGTGAGCGGGCTAATGCAAGCTTGAGGGCAGCCCTGGATTATGTAGCAAGCAGAGGCCAACCTAGCCCTTGCTGAGCTACTAAAGGAAGGGAGAATTAACCAGAATCAGCAATGAAAGGGTATCAACATGGTTTTTATCTGTAACATACAATCATAAGGCAGGCTACCCACTTACTACAATTTGGATCTGGATGGTTCAAAAAGCCCATGCGTTAAAAGGCTTGGTGCTCCAGGCGGTGCTGACCAGAAATGTGGAGCAGGTAACAGGAAGGGACCTGAAACGAGGGCCTCCTGCCCTTCTCATTTGCCTCCTGACCACAACACAAATGATGCTGTTCCATCACGTTCTTCAGCTATAATGTACTGCACAGCCCAAAGCAACCATGCCAAATAGTCACAGATTTTTAAATCTCCAAAATTGTGAAATCACATGCATTTATTTATTCTGTGGGAATGGGGTACTTGTCACTGAGCCCCTCTGGATGCCAGAGGATAATTTGTAGGAGCTAGTTCTATCTTTCCACTGTGTGGGTCCTGAGGATAAAACTCAGCTTTTCAGGATTAGTAGCAAACGATTTTATCCACTACTGAACTATCTCACCCACCTATATCTTTTTTTTTTTGCTTTTATCGTGGGTATTTATTATGATAATAGAGAACTCACTAACGTACAATTTTAAGCCAGCAAAATATAAATTTAAAAGGAGAAGGAAAACTTCACCTAAAACCAGATAATCCAAATAAATTTATAACTGTTAAATAAATATCTATAATTTCAATTTCCCTCCCCCACAGGGAAAAATCTAGACTTGAACACCTTTTCCAATAAATTCTAGCCCCACATTTAAAGGAAAAATAACAAAACTTAATATAAGGTGACGGGAGAGATATTTAGTGGTTAAGACAGCACACTACTCTCAGGGGTCCTGGGATCTATCATCTGCTCTCAAGGTGACTCACAGCGGTCTGTACCTCCACTTCCACAGAATCTCACACTCTTTATACCTCAAGAGGCACACAGAGTACATACAGATAGTTATAGTCAGGCAAGTCACACACAGAGTACATACAGATGGATGTATTCAGGCAAATCACACACACACATAAGATAAAAATAATCTTTTAAAAATTTTAAACCAAAAACTACAACAAAAAAAGAAAATATAACTTAAGGTTTTCTAGGGATTTAAAAAAAAAAAGGTGAGAAGGTTCTTCCCCACATATCTATCAAAGCCAGAATAAACCTGGTGCTAAAACTAAACAAAATAAGAAAGTATAAAGATGGGCTACTACTATTCATTAACATAAATGCAAAACCAAACAGGATTAGTAAATTTTAATTTGGAGATCCAGTGACATCAGAAGAGGTTACATAACACCAATCTTCTAACCACAGTTAGAAACTCAGGACCAAAGAACAGCCATATGCAGAGGGGCATCTGGAGAAACAGAAGCCAGGAGAAGGGAACACACTGGGTAGATCTAACTCGCTGGCTTCCCACGCAACAGCTCCCCTCACTCAGGCTTGCACATGAGAAAGAGCCTGAGATAAAGCAGCATGCTTGTTGAGCTCAGGATTCAGATGTAGAGAGTCTGGGGCTGAAGGTGACTGGAACCTTAGAGACATCCTAGGCAAACGAAGGGGTTCCAAATTCTGCAGGAAAGAACAACTATTTCTCAAATCCTCAACTGTCCCCTAGCATCCAAACACCAGACAGAAACCAACAAAAGGTAAAGTGAGAGATTGGCATCTTTTCCCTTCTGGAGGCAGAGCTGGAATTCAATCCCTGAAATTTAGAGGTACTTGATTATCATTCTTGATTTTCCACAGTAAATCACAACGAACTACAGGACCACATTTAAGACAAGTAGATATGTCTTAGAGCTAACTGCAGGAAAATGGCAGCCCTTTTCCAAGAAAGAGGACAGAACCCAGAGACCCAATTAGATCCTCTAAAAATGTTCAATATTCAGCAAAGATTCGGGACTCCAAAGTGACCCCAAAGCGCCACAGATTTCAGAGTAGCTAACATAAACAGACTGTCACGTGTCTCATATGTTGAAATCACTAATTAAGAGTTGCAATGTAGAATCCAGGCACGGTGACAAGCAGCTGGAATTCAATCCTGAGGCCGGCTTGGATTGCTGAAGCCTTAGGAGTTCAAGACTAAGTTATGCAATTTAGTGGAACTCTGTCTCTAAACTCCACGAGTCAGGGTTAAACAAGCATGCTGTCAGGTTTAACTGTTACAAAAAGAATACATCAAAACTTAAGGTTTCAATTGTCATAGTGCCAAAGACATACACTGTCTTCGCAAACAATATTTCAGGAGTAAACCTGGTCCAACTGCATTGAAGCCCTGAAGCCACATTTCACCTCCATCCCATCACAAACGGATTTGGTTCACATCCTCACTGCCTCCACTCGGAAGGTGCCTCCAAATGCTTCTTGCGGTCCTTGGACTTCCAGACTTGCTTTCTGCTGATCTGGTCAGTACCCCAGGCATTATTGCTAAAATGCAGAGAGATTAGATTTTACTTATCAAATTCTTTGATCCCTCTATATTTTTGTAGAGAGAAAAACCAAACCCATTAGCATTGCAGGTTTGGTCTTCCTTGGTCATTTTCGGATGGACCATGAGTTCTAATTAAAGCTGAGAAATGGAAACGCTGAGAGATCAGAGAGACAAAGGAGCAAAACCACAGTCACCTTACCTACTCAACTTAGCAGTCACAAAAAGACTGAGCACCTGTCTCCTCCCACCTTATCACTTCCTCTTTCTGCCCAGTCATATCACTTCCTGTTTGTCTGTACAGACCTCCAAACCTCTATTGTTAGCTAGTGGCTAACTCTAGCCTCTGATCTTCATGCAAGCTTTATTTGTATAAACAAGATAGCACCACATTTCCTCCTTTTGGTCTAAAAATTTAAAAAGAAGGTTAAAACTAATATAAGAAAAAACTATATACAATAAGTACAATAATTATATACAATATAATTATAATTATATACAATATAAATATACAGGCAATAAATACATTAACAATGTCTAGTCCATCAATAATTGACAAATTCAGAGAAAATATTCCATATATATCCTATCTTGGTGAGTCCAAAAATTGTACCTAATTCACTTTCTATTCTAACTTGCATTGCCAAAATTATCTTCTTATGTTTCTCAACCTTATACACTTTACATTTCTCTAAAAAATTTCTTTTCTGAATCTGGTATCAAGGAAAATAACTATAACTATGAAGTTACCAACTTCATTAGAGATCCAAGAAGGAAATAATATTACCTGAATAAGCAAGAAGTACAAGCAACCAATTGCAAAAAAAAAAAAAATGTGAGAAATGACAGAAAGAGCTGGCTACCTGGATAGTCACCCAAGATTCCTCTGCAGTGCTGAGGCATCCATCATCAGCCTATAGGCCTAGTATATCTGACAGATTTTTCTGTAGTAGGATTTGTAAAGGGCTGTACTACCTTGTCTTGGCAAAGTTCAAAAATTCTTTCTTTTGTGTCCTGCTTGTCCAATTTATACAGCACAGTGTCAGCAATGAGTCAAGAGCTCTTTCTTCCCTAGTGGCTAACCTTTGCCACAAAGAAAATAAACTCCACGTGGAGTTTCTGCAATGCCCATCATATTTTCTGAAGTAGATTGGTGCTGCCAGCAGATATTTCTCATTGTCATAAAAAGAAAGAATCTATATTATTAAAACATCTTAAATGCCGTATTTTATAAATCTCTGATGAACTTGAAGATGACCTATCTAAAATATATTTCTGTTTGACCTTAAAAACATATCTAATATGACTACAAGTTTGATTGCAATGAGTGACTAATTGCTAACCTGCATTTCCTTATTATCCTAAATAGTTGGTAATCATTATATTGTTATATGACTTGCCTAGGCATCATACTTGAACAAGATTAGAAATGTATGTACAGTATAACAAAAATAATCTCAACTTTGTGTCACTATACAAAAAAATCCAAGCCAATGTAAAATATTTAAAACTAGTAGTGGCTTTTTTTTGGTTTAAAAGTAGATTCAATAATCTACCTTTTAATCCTGTTTCTATATCCTCCCCTTATTTCTTCAGAATAGTTTCAATAATCTACTCTTATAATCTATCATATTTATATGTCCCCCCCTTTTTTAATCAAAACAAGAACTCTGAAGCTAATCTCCTTTGTTCAACTTTCTTACTGACTGTAGCCAGTAACGACTGGTAACCAATCCCCCCTTAAACAAAGACAAATATGCATAACCCATTGAACAACAAAAATCTACCCACCCCACCTCTTGGGAATGTAAGCATCGTATTCTTAAATTTACTTCCTACTGTCTGGGGATAACAACATATTTAGGGGATCCTGAAAAGAAAAACCTGGGTTAATTGTCAAATCCTGGGAGAGGTAGCTGTATCATTCAGTCTATGCATCATGGGAAAGTGCAGGGTTTGTCTCAAATCCTGGCTAGCATAGTCTGTAATGGTGGATTATCTCAGCTAGCCACCGCAAAATTGTCTTGAGAAGTTTGTAGTACAAAGTTATTCTTTGGGTGTTTTTTTGTTGTTATTATTATTATTATTATTATTATTATTATTATTTATTTCAGCTTAGTGGTGTTATCATAATCCTGGTAGAATTATTGCTCTGTGGCCCTATTCTCCTTTCGGAGAATTCAAATGCCACTATTAGGCATGGTCTTGGTTCACTGCAGAAAATATAAACATTTTAAATGTCATGTGCAGCAGAACTCAAAGAGGTTAAAGAATCAATATTTGCTATGTACATCCAGAGTACAAAAACTTAATTCCTAGTTACCTGGTAGAGACTCAAACCTGAAACCATGTACAAGAAGCTAGATGAAGTCTTTTTTCTAGAGTTAGTTAGGACTCTGTATGACAATATCATGCTAAAAAAAAACTTTAAAATATACATATTTTAATCTTATAAAATTTTAGAGAATATTTATGCCTCAAGAAAAGCATCAAAGATTCAAAATAGAACCAAAGGATTGAGATTAGCTTCAATATACTAGTCCTTTAATTTTGTTTATCTTCTGTTCCATATTAGGTCGCTCTTTCGACAACACAGAGAGTTTTGGATTTTACTTCAAGTATGTTTGGGTTTAGAGATAGGATGACAAAAAAAATACCATTTTCATTCTATATCTGTAGAGAATAGCAGAAACAAACATTTGGGAAGCATTATGAAATTTTATCCTGTTGGAAATGTGATATGCCAATAGGCCTATTTAATCTTTTTCTTGGTACACTTTTCTTGATGATTTGTCCTTTTTCTTCAGATGTCTTATTTGTCTAGTGGTCTTTGGATTCCTTAACTAGACACATTTATTCTTCTGAAAAGACAAAAATAAATAAACAAACAAACAAACATAAAAGAAGTATTCCCCAACCCTAATTTTTCAGGAGGTTCCCTTTTGGCAAGCTATACCTGATCAAATGAAAAGCATTTGTTAGTTTTAAAGTTAGTTTAGATTGCATGGCCATGCTATTTTAATAAATATAGCCTCTTCAAAGCAAGGGTGTCTCTTGTTTAAGTCGAATTGTTACCAATTTTGATGGTATTCATAGTGTTCCTTCTCCTGTGGAAACAAAAGCAAAACCCCAACGTAACACATGTACTGGATTCCATTCTAAGGTCAGAAATGTTTAACGTATATCAGCTGATTTAATTCTGTGTTTTTCCTACTCTACAATGTGTTTCTGCAGCTGTTGTTCCTTTCTCATTAGTATTTAGAAAATTCAAAATTAATAAAGCATTATCCAGTCATTTCTGGGGGTCTTTGTCATCCCTTTCTGCTCACTTAACATATCCTTTCCAGTTCAATTTGATCTTTCAATAACTGCCTGACCTATATAACTGTGTGACATGCATGTAATAAGTTTTATACTATAATAAGCAAAAACTGTTTCATTTTCTTAGAGACATATGCTGGAGCATCATCTGTTTTTATTTGTACAGGAATACACATGGTGGCCATAACTTCTAGCAAATGTGTGATTACCTAATCAGCCTTTTCTGAACCCAAAGTGCTGCCCATTGAAAATCTGAATAGGTATCAATAAAGTGGCGTACATATTTTAGCTTTCCAAATTCTACAAAATAGAACACATCTATTTGCCAGATTTCATTGCTTTGAGTACCCTTTGGGTTACTTCCCATAGGTAGTGGCATTTTGTATAAATAACAAGTAAAACATTTCCTTACAATTTCCTTGGCTTGTTGCCACATGATGAAAACATCTTCTATTTAAATCTTTGCTATTAACATGATTTTTTTATGAAATTCTGAGGCCTCCAGCATGTTTCCAATTAATCACTGATTAATTTATTCATTACCTTGTGCTAAAGGGCCTGGCAGAACTGTATGAAATCAGATGTGTGTTTCATATATATGAAATATATGTGGGATGATTCCTATTCCTGATTATTTCTTGTAATTAAATAAATAATAAAGTCTATTGTGTATCATCTAGTATAAATTCAGCAGTTTCAATATGTAAAACAATTCTTTCAGCATATCACAAAACATTAACTATGTTGAGAGATTCCATAAAATTTATTAGTACCATGAAAATAACTTATAATTCTGACTTTTGGACAAAATCATGAGAGCTTAGATCCACTTTACTTAAATTTTCTGATTTGTAATCTGCCTTTCCTGATTTTTTTGCATCAGTATAGAATGTAGGAGCTCCAATTATTGATGTTTCCTTTACAATGTGAGAAAGGATTCAGTTAGTTCTCTTTATAAGTTAAATTCTCTCGCTTTGGGGATATTTATTGCTAATCTCTCCCCAAAATTACTGTAAGCTCTTTGCTAGATTTCACTTTCTGCCCATAACTTGTCAATTTCATCACTATTAAAAGATATTATAATTTCTGGCAGGTCTATTCCTGTTAATTGATGAATATTTTCTTCTTAGAATTAACTTTTTCCCACATAAGTTTCTTATTTTTATTCAGTTTATGTGGTAAAAAGATTCATTCTAAGATAACATCTTCCCTTTGCATTAAAATTCCTATAGGGGAATGCTTAGAGAGTATTATGGTAAAAAGAAAACGGTGCTGTTCCCCAAGTGAACCATGGGCCACAAGGGGCAGTGGATCCCAGGCAGGGAGCCGTGTGGCAGGTGAGAGACCAGGATGAATAGGCACACCATGCAGAGTGAGGTTGAATATTTATTTAGTGGGTTATGGACGGAAAGGGGAAAGGGGAGAAGGGGAGAAAAGGGACAAGGGGACAAAAGGGACAAGCAGAAAGGCAGAGAGAGGGAGGAAGGGGGGAAGAGGAGAGGAGCCACTGCAGCACTTAACCTCTTTGGGACAGAGACAGACAGCAGGGAGGTCAGACTGGAAGAGGAAGGAAGATCTGCCTGCCTCTGCAGTGGTGGGGAGTGGGGGGGTTGTCTCTTAAAGACCATTACAGGTAAGGGAGAAATATGACCAGAAAGCTGTTAAGCTTTGGATCCACAGGTGCAATCTGTAATTTCTTTTCTACCAAAGCCAATTCTCTGTCAGCTGCAGTTGACAATTTCCTGGGCCTATTTCAGTTCTTGTCACCATCTAAAGTTTTAATTTTAAATTAATCGGTTCATCATGTTTTATCCCAATAGTGAGTCATATATAGGAAATGTCTCCTAGCAATCTTTGAAAGTCGTTAAGAGTCTGCAATCGATCTCTCCTAATTTGTGCCTTTTGGGATCTAAATTTTGTATACCTATTTTATAGCCTTTTAATAGAATCTCCTTTTTTTCAGGAGCAATTTGCAATCCCCAACAAGTCAAAACTTTCCTTACTTCTTCAAACGTTCTTTCTAAAGTATCTACATTTGAATCATATAGCAAAATGTCAGAGGCTTGGGGGAAAAAAGAAAAGAAAGTCTATCTGGAGGTTATCTGGAGGTGCGGGAGCCCCCACGTACAGCTCCTGTTTATGCCTTTGCTTGTGGCGTTTTTGTGAATTCCTGCCTTTAAGTTGGGCACCAATATGTAGCAGGAATTCTAATAGGCCTTAATAAAAGTCCAGAGTCAGATACAGGGTAAAATGCTGAGAGACAGAGAGACGAAGGAGCGAAACCACTGTCACCTACACAACTTCCTCTTGCCTTATCACTTCTCTCTGTCCAGCCATATCACTTCCTGTCTGTCTGTACATACCTCCAGACCTCTATGGTCAGCTAGTAGCTAGCTCCACCCTCTGATCATCAGGTAAGCTTTATTTGTACAAATAAGTTATCACCATACTCTAATTCCCCACTCAAGCCACACACCCTTCTCCACACAAGTCCTATATATTCTTAAGACATAGTCTTCTGACTGACGCCTGTTAGTCTCCTTCATGCTGCCTGGATACCTTGAGTGGGAAGCTGTCAACTCTACACCTTCTCCCTGATCACCACACTGCTGAGAACACCGCCTGAGCTACACGTCACATGGCAAAAACACTGAAACTTCTGCTATTGGCCACAGTGACTACTTCAAGAGCCCTTCTTCTAGTCTTAATTGTTCCAGCCTACACCAGCACTGGGAAATTCGACCTCACCGATAAATAACCTCAGTGACCTCCAGATGACTAATATCCAATATAAGTTAGATGATACTGTAAGGAACAGAACGAAAAAGCAGCAGTTTGGAGGAGAAAGAAGTGGGTTTGGGGTTGAGGCAGCACACTGTATAGACCTCTCTCTCTCAGTTTCAACTTCTGTAGCTGGTCAAATTTGCTGTTTTTTTAAAAAGACCACGACAAGGCAGCACACTGCAGGCTGGCACCCAGCCTGGTGCACACAGTAGGTACCAATGGAGTATTCTCAATTCACATACAGGCCTCGTTTGATAATCTTTGCAAAGCTTATGTACAAATTTATTCTGCTATCTGTTTTCGTCTTTCTTTCCCTCACTAGCTTTCGGGTTACATAAAGGTCCGAACTTCTTTTTCTACCTTGGCAATCCTTGGGAGATGTCAGTGCCTTGGATAAGACAGGAAAGGGTTAAATTAATCCTTGGCTGTGGTGGTTTAAGAGTATCCATTTTCACTGCCAAAAGCTTTACTGCGTTTCTCTTCTTCAAAACGGATGCGGAGGGACGGATATACCATCCAATCCTTGATAAGAGAAAACGAACGATTGGAACAAGACTTAAAAGGTGAAGTTGCAACGTTCATCTGTTGAGTTGCATGGTCCTGCAAGTCAAGGCTGCACTCGGGACGACCTGCAGTATCTCCCAGCGAGTGGCTGAGTGACTGCACACGGAGGTGCTGGAGCGTCATAAGGACCGGTGGGGAAAAGGAGCGAGGACCAACCTAATACGACTCAGCTCCGCCCACTCCCGAGGGGGTGGTCGCCGAGTGGCTCCGCCCCCTTCCGCGGTCGCTAAGCAACCAGCCCCGGAAGTCGCGAGTCCGGGGCGGGCGCCGAGAGCGGGTGGAAGATGGCGGAGGGAGGACGCGCGGAGCCGGAGGAGCCGGAGAGGGGGTCCTCGAGGCCTCGGCCCCCGAGTGCGCGGGACTTACAGGTACGGAGGCCCGGAGCGCAGCGGCGGGCGGGAGGCACTGGGTACCTCGCCTGAGCCTTGCTCGGACCCTGTCGGAGGAGAATGATGGCTGGGGTCTCTCGGGGAGGCGCGCGGCAGGGTGGTGGGCGTGGAACCCAGGGCGCGCGGCGCACCGGGCAGCTGTGGGCAATGCCATTTTGCGGGGCGGTCTGGGTGGCTCCCGTTTGATGCTACCTGACTGCTGGAGAGTTCCTATGGCCATCGCTTAAAAAGTAATTTAAAAATAACGCGTCTTGATCTTGGATGCGCTTTCGGATTTAAAGACTTACACATTAAAAGCAATTTTTCTTTTTTTTTTTTTTTTTTTTTTCTTATCAAAAAGCTTGGCGTTTTTGCAGGAGAGAGCTTAAAACAGTTCAGGCTGTGGTTGCAGCCCACTTGTAAGAGGTACTCCATAAAACAATGTAACAGAAATAAAACTCGATGATGTTACAACGCCGACGTTAGTCAGCTGAACACTTGTCCACTAAATACTACTTTATCAGATGCTAACACTACTTGCTCATTTTAGGCATTTTTCTGTCTTCTCGTGAGATCATTGATAAAACTCAGCAATTAAACATGTGTAAGGGGTTATGGTTAAGAATAAATGAGCCTGAATTCTCCAACCTTGGCAGGGCATTTTTAGTAGCTGGTCTTCATCTTTAACCAAACATACTGACTACTTGCTGTTATAACTTTGGAGAATTTGGAGATAAATAGGCTATCAAATCCATAAGTAGTACAGTATACTCTTGTATGGTATTAAGTATTTTGAAAGACCACAGACTTGAAATAGGCTTGTAAACTAGCCTTAATAGACCAAACCGATGTAAAGTTACAATGGTACTGATTGAGCATTGGTTTGCTACAGGTGACCCTGAAGCCACTTAACTAATTGCCTTAGTCAGGATCACTACCGCAGTGTTGAAACACCACGACCAGAGAACAACGTGGGGGGAAAGGGTTTATTTGACTTAGGCTTCCTTCCACATCATTGTTCATCCTCAAAAGACCAGTCAGGCTAGGAACTCAAGCAAGGCAGGGACCTGGAGACAAGTCTTGGAGGATGCTGCTTACCTGCTTGCTCCCTGTGGCTTGCCCAGCCTGCTTTCTTTGAGAACCCAGGACCCCCCAGCCCGGGGATGGCACTACCCACAATGCACTGGGCCCTCCCCCATCAATCATTAAGGCTCCCCTCCTCCCTAATGACTCTAACTTTGTTAAGTAGGGGTAGTAAGGGTGACAGAGAGACGCAGAGGAGTCTGCTGGGGGAGAGTGAAGACAGGGACAGTTTAAAACTAAGACCCTGTCGTGATGGGCATCTGTGCCTGTGTTTTACATACACTAATCTTTCAACTGATCTTGACAAAAATTTCATTAGTCATTTAGAGACGTAAAAATTAAACTCAACGATGTTCAGTAATCCATCAGACATACACAGTAAATGCCTAAGTTAAGGTTTGGAGCCAGCTGAGAGAGAACAAGGGGGAGTGTGAACATGGGAAGGAGAAGGAAGGGATAGATGATGGAATTATATTTTAATGTCAAAAGAATTATGATCTACGTAAGAACTTTTAATTCAGTTCTTAAGAGGTCAGAGCCATTCATTAGCATTTCTAGGGAAACTGCCTTTTCAGAAATCCATGAGTTGCTGCATCATCTGTGAGAGACAGGAAGAAGGAGGAATAAAAACGGTTAGGAAATGGGGGGAAAGCCTCTAGATGCCCTGAGTGTGTACTTTAAATGTGTTTAGCCAAAGGTGTATGGAACCTATTGGCTAGGGGATGTCCTGAGTGTGAGGGTGGTTGTCTAATATGTGTGAGGCTCTGCCTGAGTTCAGTTCGCAGCCCTGAAAAAGAATCAGGACTGGATGATTTGGCCTCAGTTACTTATTCTTCTTTTCCTTCTGAGGGAAAACTACACAGAGATAGTTACCTGGTGGAGGAGAAGGCTTGTTTAATTGTAGCGAGAGTGGGGGGCCCAAAGATTATAATCACACCGATTGAATACCCACTAGGAGCATTAAGGAAATTTCTTTTGTTTTGCCTGTTTTCTGAGACAGGGTCTCTCTACACAGCCCTGACTCCTGGAATTCACTGTGTAGACCAGGCTGGCCTCGAATTCACAGACATCTTCCTGCTTCTGCTTCCCAAGTGCTGGGATTAAAGGGTTGTGCCACTATGCCTGGTTGAAAAACTTTTAATTTATTACCCAAACAGCAAAAGTAGAAGGAGGGAAAAAAAACTCTGTAATAATTAGATTAATATTTTAAATTCTATTTCAAGGGCAAATATATTTTTACTTTATTTCAAAAGTAACCAGCTATGTCCCTGCAGTGTTTAATTTTGCAGTATTGCTTTATAAGTGGTTGAAACCTATATTTAATTCATTGTCTTATTTTTCAGCTCTTTCCCCTGAACTTGATGAAATTTATGTCTGATAGACTATCAGGCAATACTTTTGAACTTGTTTCATGTTCCTGGATTTTGAAAACTACTGAGCAAAATTATATTGTGAGATTGATTTAGAGAAACTGACTATAGCATGAACTGTCTTCAGAAAGCCCTGAAAGCCTGGAGGAAAGTTACGCAGGTCCAGATGGGGAAAACAGTGTGTTGCCAAACTCAGTTTTTGAAACTGTTGAATAGTTAATTAAAAGAATTATTGTAACAAATTTTCTCTGGCATAGGCAGCTTAATTAATTGAATACTGTGAAACCTCACAAGTTAGTTTGTTTTGGAAAGATAATATCTTTTGAGGCAACAGCCTTCATTTTTTCGTAGGAAATTGTTAATGCCCAATTCCAAACTAATGCATGTTCCTCAGCTGTCTACAAGTGTATTTCCATCGCTAGCTGGATAACAAGCCTGTCCTTGTGTGTAGTTGGCCTTGGCAGGGCTGTACGAAGAGGAAGTGAAATGCAAGTCTTCCAGGCCTGCCCGGTCTGCAGCTCCCATCTTTAAGAGCCCACGGACACTGCCGCAGCGGTGAGTGTTGCTTCCAGACAGCTGCCTGCAGCAGCTTAGCATGCTGAGCCGAGTTTAAGTCACTTTGAGGATTTTCTGAGTTAATTTTTTAAAAAGAAATATGGAGATACTATTCTAAAATTTTTATAGTCAGTGAAAAAAAAACTTCTGAAGAAATCCCATGGTGTCTGCTATTATCCTAAGCACCACATGAACTCTGTCTTGAATCAGGCAAGATGGCGCTTTAATATTTTTGTCCTAGTGCTCATTGAGCTTGGTGACATGTCCAGGCTCTCCTCTCAGCAGCACTCGTGAGCAGTCTTGTCCGTCGAGGGCCAGCGGGGTTCTCCCCACCACCCATGGGGCTCTGCGAGTCCCTGGTCCCCACTGAAGAATCTGTCAGTTCTGAAGTCTCTGTGTGTGCTTCTGTACTGCCGTGCCTGGTCTGACATGATTTCCTGGGATGTCTGTGTTGTCATTTAAATCTCTGGATGATGAAAAGAACAGACTAGAGGTTTAGAAGATAAGAATCACATATACTGTAGTGTGAATACTTTTATTGACTTTTTTTAGTATTACATTAGAGAGCAAACTTGAATTTTCTTATTACCTCTCATTCTCAAAAAGTATAATTTCCTCAGAAGTAGAAAAGTTCACTGGATATTATGTTTTTGTCACTTCACATATTTTTTGAAGGGGAGACAAAAATGATACATCTTCGTGTACTTGAATGATAAGAAAAGTCCTTATAGTTTCTCCCCTGTGTTTTCCTTCACAAATGTTGAAGCCCATAGGAAGCGTGAAGGTTAGCAGGTGAATAGAGACTGAGCATTTCCCCTGCTTCACCAGGGGTTAACGTGTCCTCATATAGCCCTGCCCTCACTCGTGCTTGCGCTCACTCTCTTTTCATTCAGCTATCTGAAAGCAAATTCCAGCATTCATGACACCCACTTCTAGGCATTTCATTGTGCACCCCCTAAGAAGAACCCAAATAACAAAGTATAGCCCACAAATTAACAGTGGCACCACGATGTCACATCTTCAGCCACCTTGGGGATTTGGGGACCCAGCTAGAGACTACTCATTGCATTTGACTTTTCCTGTGTTGAGTTTTGAATGTAGAAATGTGCTCTCTCTCTCTTTCTCTCTCTCTCTCCCTGTATTTAGCACACCTCCATATTCTAAAATTTATTACATTCACTGTTTTAAAAAGTATACACCATATGTCTCAAAATATCCTACATTCTAGATCACTGTTTCCTCATAATTAGATTCTTGTTAAACATTTTTGTCAAGTGTACTAGATAAGTGATACTGTCTGCTTTTTATTGTATCACATCAGGAGCCATATAATTCCAAGTTTCCCCACTCTTGGTGACATGCTCACTTGCTTAAGGTGCTGACCACCACATCACTCCATTGTCAGGTACAGTCTGTCCTTGTAATCTGCAGGTTGGTATCTCGGCATGGTTTGAATATACTATCCTTTGACTTAGCTCTTATTGTTAGATATATGAGTGTATGTAGATTGTGTAATATTTTAATTACCTCCTTAATGTATATATTCCCTTTCCCCATTTTTAAAGTATTTAATTTGATTCTGCCTGAGTTTTCCTCACTCAGTAGTTCATTGTTCAGCCTTTGACTCCCTAGCTTGCGCACATGAGAAGAACTTAACTTTGCTCTTAGTGTAGTAAACCTGATACTTGAATTTTTGCAAGATTGACATAGATATTTTCCTTGCGTTTCACGGGTTCATTCTGTGATCGTGAGCTAAGATTGTCCTAGGCTGCCAAGAGGTTCAAGCCATTTTGAGCAGCCTGAAAATACTAAAGTCTGCGGATGTGGCTCAGTGGTAGAGTTTTGCCTTGCATGTGCAAGGCCTTGGGTTCAATCCCTAGAACTCTTTCTTTCCCCCAGTTGGATGCATTTACTTATGCAATCTGAAAAGGATTTGTTGTTAGTAGTTTGATTTGGTAGTGCTCTTTTGTTTGCTCATTTGGGGGTGTCATGGACTAAACTCAGTGTCGCACACACATTAACCATGTACTCCTACCGCTGAGCTGCACCTCTCCAACCAGTAATGTTGACCTCAAGAATCATTTACCACTCAAAAGGATAAATTTCTGTAAGAGATCCGAAGGCTGTTTAATCACTTCAGGTACAGTGCGCACGGAGATCATCAGTCTTTTCTGAGCGTGATAGTTTTCACTTCATGCAGCAGTTCACGCCTCCCCACTTCACCTTCAGTGAGAACGTTTGCCCTGCTCACTGTCCCCACGTTTCCTTTCTGTAGGCCGCTGCTCATTGTCTGTCCTCCCGGGCAGTGCTAGAAATCAAAATGGTTGTTCGCTCCCTGTCACTTCTTGTAGTTTTCAAAGTGTCATATGTAGCCTAGTCAGGCCTGGAACTCACTGTTAGTCAAGCTACCCGCAATCCCCCTGCCTCAGCCTCCCAAGAGTTGAGATTTCCAGAAACAGCATGCTAGCACCACCACACCTGGCCCCCTGGCTTTTTAAGCCAGCTGCACTGGTTAGTTTCTGTCAGCTTAACACAAGCTTGAGTCTCCTGGGAAGAGCACTCCCAGTGAGAGACTGCCTCTGGCTGACTGGTCTACAGGCAAGTGTGTGGGGGTATTCCTTGATTAATTATGTGGAATGGTCCAGCCCATGTGGGAGGTGCTATCCCTGGGCAGCTGGCCCTGGGTATAAGAAAGTGTGTTGAGCAAACCATGCAGAGCAATCTAGTGAGTAGCATTCCCCCACGTCTCCGCTTCAGTCCCCACCTCCAGCTCCTGCCATCGCTCCCCTCAGTAATGATAACCTGTATAATGTACTCAACCCTTGCATCACCCAGTTTGCTCTTGCTCAGTAGAAGCTAAATAAAACACTAATATAGTTTCATTTTCAAAAATATTAGTCATAAAGTGGTCGATACCGTTAACCTCCAAGAAGTGTGCAATCTTTAGACCAACCTTCAGACCAGTTTGACAACTTTAACAAATTCACTCATGTGAGGCTGTGTGCCAGCAGCAAAATTTAGGACATGTCCTCTACAGGTCATTATTTACGTAGCATTGTTTTGAGAATTAAATGAGATAGACGGTGTGATATGCCTAGTATGGGCCTTAAACAGTTACTAAAATCAAAGTAAGCCCGAAGAAAGGACAGGAGAGTACAGAAGGAAAGGCTGTGGAACGTTACAGCTTAGTGGAAGTGCAGCCAGGGTGAACCTCATGGGTGTGTGACCTTGCTGTCACACAAGTCTACACTTAGGAGGGCCTTGTTCTGAGTTAAGCGCTTGACTCCTTGAGTGAGCAGACTTAGATGTTCATTTGCACTTGGCTCCATTATTGTGCTGCATCTGTTCAAGTCACTGAAATGCTTGTGTGCATAAAGTTCATTCAGTGAAAAGGAGCCGGAGTTCAGGAGCTCAGCCCCCATGTGTATGTGTGGGGGGTGTCTCTTCATTAACCAGCCCTAGTCCGTTTTCTCATCTGGAAAATGGGGATCGCTTAGTTATAAGAATTGTATGAAAATATATTTGCCCTTTGATAATATTAACTGTTAATCTTTTTGGGGAAATAGGAAAAAGCATATCTTTTTAGAAAAATCGATGTCAAATTACAACAATGGGAGAAGAAGAGGCAGCCCACTTTGGGTACCCTAAGGGGCAAGACAGCAGTAGGCGGTTACACTGGAATGAGGGAGAGGATGGAATTGCGCCAGTGCTTTCTAAAACTTGGTTATAGAAACTTCCTGGCACGGAATACAGGGCATGAGTAGGAAAGAGAGTTTGGGGAGCTGCGGTAGAGCTGTGCTTGCTGACGAGAGGCCTGCAGCATGGAACTGGTGAACATCATTCATGCAGGAGTACTCAGTAGGTGCTTTATTTTTTAGGTCTTTACAAAGTTTAAATTTCAGTAAGTTAGGGCGAGGCGTGGTGGCATATGGCTTTACTCCCTACACTGGGAAGGTAGGGGCTGAAGGTCAGCGTTAGCTGTGTAGGAAGTTCAAAGCCAGCCTCCTGTACAGAAGACTGTCTCACTCCTGCCCCAGGCAACCAGCCAAACAAAGTAAGAGAGAGCTAGGCATGATCGTGTATGCTTGCAATACCAGCACTTGTGTGGCTCAGGCAGGAGGACCATAGCTTGGGCTGCATGGTGAGAAAATGGAAGAAAAGATGTTTTTAAAGGGAGGTGAAATATTACCTTTGAGTCATTTATCGGAAGTTGCAATGGGAGTGGATAAATACTTTTTTGATCAAATGAGTTTCAAATAAGAGGAGAACAGAAGGCAAGGGCATTGACATCTTATTGTGGAAAAGGGAAGAAAGGAAATGTAGTAAAACCGAAGCATGGTTGGAACCCCAGGGAACTGCACAGTGAGGGGAATGGTGCCTCTCAGGAAAGCCAGGGAAGACGAAGTTCCCATGTGAAGTGAGAAGATGGAAGCGGGCAGGGTTGTCACTGCTCCAGTTGTAGGTGCCCGTGGTCCTCTGTCTCCTCAGAGAACGGCTAGAGCATTCGTGGAGCACCCTTCGAGCTCAGGACACAAAGTACTCGATATGAAGACTTATTGCAAAGCTGCAGAGGCCTAAGAGTCTGACCAGTGAGTCAAAACTAGACTCTGAATCTTCCACCCTTGGAGATGGCTGTTTGACTCCGGCAAAGATGCCACTGCAGAGCAGCGAGGAGAGGGCATTTCATAGCATTGTCTAAGGGAAGAAATTAGCATTGGCCTCTCTTTCCCTTATGCAACACACAGTCAGTTCCAGACGGCTTGCAGCTCTGACTATAAATATCAGTGAGGCTGCATGGTCTCAGGGAAGGCCATAACAAACCACTAAATCTTTTCCTGTGACCAGTTTTCCCCGGCCTTTGTCACAAGGCAAAGAGGCAGGATCATTCACTCTGCCAGCTTGTTGACATGGGACAGGGAGGGAAGATGTTATATTTGGGGACAAACATGGCAGGACGCTGTGCTGGCTCTGTCGCAGTTCCTGAGGCCATGTGCTATCCAGTCTCTCCTCTCCAACACTGCACTTACTTCAGAGACAGGCAGGCTCTTTCTTCATGTGCTGTACCCCACCCCCACACCACGGGTGTGCAGTGCGAGCATGCGAAGACTGTGGGTTCTAGTGGACTCGGTGACACTGGTGGGGTGGTGCCCCTCCCCACAGCAGTAGTGGGGTTCTGCTGGTGTACACACCTGTGTCCAGGTAGCAGGACATGAGGACTGCCGCTTCCTCTGTAACTCGGTTGCCAGCTTAGGAGAAAACCCTGAAGGGAACCTCTGTGCCCTGTGCACGGCTGTTGTAGTTTCCGCCATTGCTCTGTGGGTTAGTGGAAACTGGAGTAGAAGGTGTGGGGAAATGAAAAGTGAACTCTGACACCTTGTAGGAAGTCTCTATGTGTTACTTCATTGTTAAATTTTCTGATCTCCTTGAGAAAGATTAGAATAATCTTAGGTGAATGGAAATGTGTGTTTTGTAGCCTTTCTGAAGTTAGAGTCAGGGCAGATCTTAGTTACTACATAGGGAATATATGAAGTTATTTACACTGGGAATTGTAATGCACTAGGTCTCTTTGAAGAGTAAACATTTGTGTAGCCATATGGGGCAAGAATAACCTCCACCTGTTGCCAGTGCCGCCCCCTCCCCTCCCCAACAGGAGAAGAATCCTTAAGCAGTCATCCAGGGTCGAGGTGGGAAACCAGGACCCCAGTCACCATGCTGGTGCTGACATTGTCAGGCTCCACAAACCCAGAAGGGATACAGACTCTCCCTGTTTTATGTTTGCCTGAGTTCCATTGTAAAGTCAGATATCCTGAAAAGCTCAGTGTACTTCTTTATAAAGAAAAGTTATTTCCTATGGCTTATAGCTTCTTATTTTAGAGTGGTTTGTGTCTGTTCTGAGTTTTTATTCATGAGCTGTGATGTTTAAAGGCTTTATTCAGGTGAACAGGAATGTGGAGTACATATAGCTCAGCCTCCACCTGGGAACATTGTGAATGACCTCTTCAGAGAGGCAAGGGAGCATGGGGCCGTCCCGCTAAGTGAAGCCACAAGATCTTCCAGTGACGACAAAGCTAAGGTCAGTGCTGTCTGTAACTGTGTTGTTCTGGGAAGGTGCAAGCTCCTTGGATGTGGCGATGCTTTTCTGATCTTTCTGGCCCCATGGCTGAGAATGACTGCTCCATGAAACTTCAGTTTTAGACTTTATTTGGCAGCAGCTGAAAAACTTCCTTCTGTCAAGCCTTGAGGTCATTTTAGCATTTCCATGTTCCCCAATTCTGTAAGCAAAGTATGGAATTGATTTCATATGTGGAACAAAGTAAGGTTGTAATCTAAAGCACATTTGTCATGCAAATGGTAATTAAAAGAATAGCCATTTCTGCCCACAGTATCCTCCCTGAGGACTATGTGTTTAGAACAGCAATATCAAAAGTGTGATCATAACCTACTTGATGTAGGTAAGATCAAATTGTGACTATAGCTGACTTCCTGTAGCTAACAAACAGCTTAAGATGGAGGTCATCCGGGGGCTGGAGAGATGGCTCAGTGGTTAAGAGCATTGCCCGCTCTTCCAAAGGTCCTGAGTTCAATTCCCGGCAACCACATGGTGGCTCACAACCATCTGTAATGAGGTCTGGTGCCCTCTTCTGGCCTGCAGACACACACAGACAGAATATTGTATACATAATAAATAAATAAATATAAAAAAAAAGATGGAGGTCATCCCAGGAAATGACACATGGACACAGTGCAGAAGTCAACAGGTCATGGTGAAACTCAGCCACAACAGATGCATCTGCATCACGGCTCCTATATCGTGGAAGAGGGGGCAAGAAGATTGTAAGAGCCAGAATGCGAGAAAGTCAGCTGTAAAAGCCCCTGGAAGTGGCTGCGTAACCAAGACTGGAACAATGGCATGTTCAGGGGCGTTAACATGGGAGGGGAAATCGCATGTGTTCACACCCCTAAGAACTACAGGCAACTCTTGACTGCTGGGAGAAGGAGGATTACCCTCTTCCAGGGATGACCACTTGTTGGTTATCCAGTGCAGAGTGGTCAGTCTGGAAACTGTATACACACCACCAATAAAAGCATTCAGTGTGAGATATGTATTTACATACATGTATGTATGTAACAATAATAAAAAAGAGGCTCTCAACTTGGAGAGGGGATGTGAGAGGGGCTAGAAGGGAGAAAATGATGTAATTTCTATTTCAGTTAAAACATAAAAAAAAATTTAAAGCCTATAAAATACATACAGAATTCTTTAACAATTTCTAACATTTATTTTGTGTGTGTGGTCGTGTACACACAAATCCACATCCCACATGTGGACGTCAGTGGACAGTTTGCAGGAGTCTGTTCTCTCTTCTACTGTGTGGATTCTGGGGATCAAACTAAGTTATTGCACATTTCGAGTTACTAATGTTTATATGAATAGACACTTGCTTGTAACTTAAGGACGTCATTCTAATGTATTTTCCTAGTCACTGTGAATCTGTCCAATAATTTCTTATCTAGTTTTGAAATATCAAGTATCCAAATAACATTTTGAATGTAAGCTATAGTGAACTCTTAACCCATTTATCCTGTATTCCAGTCGTTTACAGGTGGAGGATACAGACTGGGCAGTTCCTTCTGTAAGCAGTCAGAGTATATCTATGGAGAAAATCAGCTGCAAGATGTAGGTACAGTCATCAAAATGTTAAGCATTCACCTCCAGTTGATATTGTTTGTTTCTCCTTCCTGAATTAATAGTTAACACTATAAATATAGACATCTCTTACTAGTTTTTGAAGCAGGAGTTAAAGAACTTGTGTACTTTTATTAGCAATATTTCTACTGCTATATTGGAATGTATAATTTTTTTGGTTTTGTTTGTTTTGTTTTGTTTTTGAGACAGAGTTTCTCTGTGTAGCTCTAGATGTCCTGGAGCTCACTCTGTAGACCACACTGACCTCAAACTCAAGATCCACGTGCCTCTGCCTACTGAATGCTGGAATTAAAGACGTGCACCACCACTGCCAGGCAGAATGTATAATTCTCACAATTTTTTCTTAGAAATTGTATGCTTTTATAATACAGCATGAATTAAATTATAAAAACATTTGAAATCATTATTTCTGTTGCCTTTGAAAATATTAAAATTATAAATTTATTTCAGACATTAACAGTTTCTTGGAAGGGTTTCCTTGCCCCTTGGCATGTATTGTTAAGTGGTGGAACTAAAGAGATTTGGGGCTGGAAGAGGGGTCCGAGTCACAGGTGCGAAGTGGAGTCTGTCTTGCTGTTGCTTCTGCTCCCTCGTGAACTCTGAGTGATTGCTCAGCAGCCAGGCGCCACCCATGAGACTTCGATATTTGCAGCTATTATCAGTGTTTTAAGCTAAAAATAAACCTACTAAGTAAACACATGGTGGACACACATGTTTAGCTTTGATTAAAACAAATATCTCTGTATTTTAAGATAAATTAATCAGACAGTAAGTTGGGAGATATAACATTGAAATCTAATATTGTTTGGAGATAAGTTCTTTTTTTTTTCCCCTCTCCAAAAGGTTCAGATTTTACTGAAGCTGTGGAGCAATGGCTTCAGTTTAGATGATGGAGAATTGAGACCTTACAGTGACCCAACAAATGCTCAGTTTTTGGAATCTGTTAAGAGAGGGTAAGATGAATTATTCTTATTCTCTTTATTATGTGGAATGGAACTATTTTGAGTATGTAACTGCTTATGTGTGTATACACATGCACGTGGAGGTCGTAGGTCAGTCTCAGTGGTATTCTCTCATTTGTCTGGAACTCGCCAAGTAGGCAGGCTGGCTGGTCACTGTGTCCCAGGGACCTGTGGCCCCAGTCCTGGGATACCAGTGCATAGCACCGCATGCAGCCTGGTTACATGGGTTCTCTGGAGATTGAGCTCAGGTGGTCATGCTTGTGTGGCATTATTTGACCAAGTAGCTCCTCTTCCCAGGCCCTGTTTCTTTTTTTCTTTTTTCTTTTTTTTCTTTTTTTTTTTTTTTTTTACTGTTCTATATACACTACTAGCTTTCAAGAATTAGTTATTGTGACGTATTACATAAGTGACTTTGGGGAGATGGATCTTTGTATAGAAAGGACATTGTGTGATTGTACCTCTTTTAAATATGACACTATGGGCTTTGCTCCAAGAAGAAATGCCTTAATGAATTAAATAGCATCTATCTACCTATCCATTAAATCTCTCTCCCGCTTACTGTTGGCAAGGTGCCATGACAAAACACCAAGACCAAGGCAACTTATAAAAGAAAGCATTTAATGGTGGTATACAGTCTCAGAGGGTGAGTCCGTGGTCATTAGGACTGGAAGCATGGCTACAGGCAGGCCGGCGTAGCGCTCCAGCAGTAGCTGAGAATTTACCATCTAATCCATAGCCGTGTGGCAGAGAGCCAGCCGGGAATGGCGTGAGCTTTAAACCTCTGAGCCCATCTCCTGTGACACATCCTCTGATCTTTCCCAAAAGTCCTACCAGCTGGGGACCAAGATTTCAAATTTGAATACGTCCAGCTTTGTTGACTGCAGCATCTCTCGTGGACGCATTCGTCTCCCTGTCAGTGGCTCTCTTTGACAAATATCCCATGACTTTATCTCCAACATCTTGGGATCTCCGAAATAATCTGAACTTCACTTTGACAGCTTCACCAGTGGCTTCTCTGGGTCTCCTTGTGGGGACACTCCTGCCATACACCTGTCCTCAGCAGCTCTCCTTAAACCTTGCACTTCTGTGTCCTTTACAACTGTGAGTCTAGAACCTGTGGCCAAAGCTGCCCCTCTTTGAATTACACTTGCATACGCTCTGGTATGTTGTTGCTCTTAGGAACAGGTGATCCCTGAGGCCTTTTCTTTTCCGAGGTTACAGGATTAGTTGGGTGGAGTTTCCCTGAGGTCACCATTCCCCATATTCCCTTTATTCTTATCTCTTTCAGCACATACCATGGCTCCATTAAATTTCCTCAAACTGTACATCTTAATATATATTTTTTACCCTGCTTACCCTTTTTTATTATAGACCTACTTAAGAGTTAACACTAATAACCACTTGACAGTCAGTACTAGGCTGTCTTGAAATCTCCTCTGCCAATAAAATTAGTCCAAAACTCTTCAACTTAGCATCAGGGAGATTCTTAGGACAAAGGCAAAACTCAGCCACGCCCTTTGCCTGGATCTCACACGATGGGTCTCTAGCCCAGTTCCCACTATTGTTCCCCTATGAAGTCTCTTGAGCTGGGCTTCCATAGTCCACATTGCACTCAGCGTTATTGTCACCCATGCTCCTACGAGGATGCTCCACTAAATTCCTCTACAGCCCTCAACAAAAACTTCATGGACAGGGCTATCACATCAGTGTCCCACCCCCGCTGTGGGACTTTTTCTAAGTAGAAATGCCACTAAAAGCATAAGGTTGATGATACATTGTGAGGTTGAGTAGCAGGAAAAGTTCATAGAGAAATTGAAGGTTAAGCCCTTTAAATGAAACATCCGGGAGACTGGCTGAAGTGGGCTGGAGCTAAAATCCTTTGAAACAACAAAGGAACTCTGAAGGAAAGATACTGTAGAAAGTGAGTTAGTGTTGTGGTTTTTATTTAAATTTTGCACAGTTACTACAAGGATACAAATAAAGGCAAGAAATGCTGTCAGTAGAGCACTGAAATCATGGCAGCAAGTACTTGGATATAACAGTTAAGACAGTGTTTTCCTGTTGAAAACTAAACAACTAGGTAGTGGAAATACTCATGTAATATATGAAAACCAACATTGCTATTCAAGTTCATGCTCTAACTTCAAGGTGACAGAAGAAAACATTCATTGTTTGCTGAAGTTAATTTTGAGGCAAGTGGGAATATTCAATGGGCTTTAAAATCTGAGCCACACCATATCATCAAGAACAAGTAATGAGCAAAGTCTCCTTTCTTAGCTCTTTCGTGAAAGATTTAGTAACACTGTCTTTGTTGTCCTACAAGAAAAACTGTTTGGTTAGTATAATCTGCTTATACACATCATTTCTCCAAAAGTTGATATATTCTACCTTACATATACTAAGTACAGGAAAGTAATTTTTTGTTTTTGTTTTGTTTTTTGTTTTTGCTTTGTTTTGTTTTTTCAAGACAGGGTTTCTTTGTAGCTTTGGAGCCTGTCCTGGAACTAGCTCTTGTAGACCAGGCTGGCCTCATAAAAAATTCCTATCAGTGATATTTACATTATTTCTTTAATATAAGTTTATATTTCAATTTACATATGCCCAATTCATACACTTTCTATGTAAATGTAACATATAAAATCACCATAGATGAAGTGTGTGGCGTTGTCAGCCTAATTACTATTAATCATATTTCATTCAAGGACTTAATAGAGTTTAAATGGTAGGTACCATTTGCATTCTTGGAAATGCAAGGGATCTTCAAAAATAAAAATATAAAATCCTCCAAAACTGCTTAGTTGATTTTTGGTTACTTATATGCTAGAAGGAGGCCCCGACATCATGAAAAAGAGAGTTGTTCCCCATGTCAGCCTCTGGCACGTTCTGATTCTGTGTTAACTGTGATGCTGTCCTCAGTGTAGACCTGTCTTCTGTGGCCGTGCAGTCCCACAGGCTCTCCCTTGACACTGAAGCATCTGCTGCTCACCAGTTATCTGATAATCAGAAATACCTTTATCAGTATCAGGCTGCCTCCAGGATGGAGTTAAAAGCAAATGGTTGTAGCCAGGGATGGTGATCCTGTGTATCCATGACAAGTCCTTGTGTAGATAAGACCTCTTTTCAGTGCAGGGATATGAAGAATGAAGAAGACCCTTCCTCACTGTTGATGGAATCTGTATGGAGGGTTCTCCAAAGACAGAACTCTACCATTTGACACATAGGATTCCTGAATAATTTCCTAAAGAACTCTAAAGCAACATACCATGGAGATACTTGTATATCATGTGTATAAGGCACTGTTCACTATAGCTCAGAGACTGGATCAGCCTAGATGTTCATAAACAGATGAATGGATTAAGAAAACATGAAGATACATAATTCATTTCTATAAGTTGGAAATAATGTTAGACAATACCAGCCAGGCTCAGATACCATATGTTTTCTCTAATATGCATCTAGATTTAATATATGCATAGATATATAAATGTATGTATCTATATATAAGTACATAGCTCATGAATAGAAAGGGGATCATGAGAAGGGAAGAAGAGCTCATAAAGTAGATAAAAAAGAGATTAATCAGTACATGTGGAAAGGAAGTAGAAGGGAGACAGCCTATTTTCAGTAAAGAAGCAAAGGGCATAGAGCAATAGTAAAAACAAAATACAGTGATGTGTGTATATGTGGATGCCATAATGAAATCTTTTACTTTCTATACTAACCTAAAGCATTTTTTATTTATTATTCTTCTCTTATATATTACATTCCAACCACAGTTTCTCCTCCCTTTCCTTCCCCCAGTCTCCTCTCCTCATCTCCCCTCTGCCTCCACAATCTGTCCTTAGAAAATAGCAAGCCTCCTTGGGACATCAACCAAACATGGTATAATATGCTACAATAAGCCCAGGCACTTACCGTCACATCAAGACTGGATGAGGCAATCCAGTAGGAGGAAAAGGGTCCCAAGAGCAGGTGAAACAATCAGCTACTGCCCCTGCTCCCCCTGTTAGGAGTCTCACAGGGATGCCAAACTACTCAGCCATAGCATATATGCAGGGGACCTAGGCCAGACCCCTACAGGCTCCCTGATCTCAGTGAGACACCATGAGTACTGGTCATACTGGTCACTTGATTCTGTGGGCCATGTCCTTTTGGTGTCCCTGACCCTTCTGGTTCCTCCTATCCTTCCTCACCTTCCTCTAAAGGACTCCCCGAACTATGCTTAATTTTGGCTGTGGGTCTTTACATCTGCCTCCATTTGGTTGCTGGGTGATGCCCCTCTGGTTTGTTTGATGACAGTTGTGCTAGGCTCTGGTCCTAGAACACTGCAGGCAGGATAAGCTATAAGCTGGAAGTTTGGTGGCTGGGTTGGTGTCCCAATCCCTCCACTTGAAGCCTTGCCTGGTTACAGAAGATGGCCAGATCAAGCTTCAGCTCCCCCATTACTAGGAATCTTTGCTAGGGTTACTCTTGTAGATTGCATGGAATTTCCATTTCACTAGATTTCCACCTTACTCCCAAATTCCCTAATTCCTAATGACTTCCCTAATTCCAGTCATTTCTCCTAGTATTCCCCCCCACACACCAGTTGATCACTCCTGTTCCCAACTCCCACCTGTCCCCCGTCCACCAACAAAATCTATTCTATTTCCTCTTTGCAGGGAGATCCTTGTATCCCCTCTTAGGCCCTCCTTGTTACATAGCCTCTCTGGGTCTCTGGATTGTAGCATCATTATCTTTTATTTTACAGCCAGTGTACACTTATAAGTGAGTACATATCATGCTTGTCTTTCTTTTCCATCAGGTTGGAACTTGGAACACATGAGTAATACTCCATTGTATATAAATGTACCACAACCTCTTCATTCTTTGGATGAAGGCATCTAGGTAGTTTCTAGTTTCTCGCTTTTATAAATAAAGCTGCTGTGAACACGGTTGAACAAGTGTCCTTGAGGTAGAATAGAGCATCCTTTGGGTATATGCCCAGGAGTGGTGTGACTAGTCTTGAGGTAGATTGGTTCCCAATTTTCTGAGAAACCATTATATTGATTTCCAAAGTGGTTGTACAAGTTCGCACTCTACCAGCAGTGGGGGAGTTCATCTTGCTCCAGATCCTTGACATTGTGAGCTGTTTCTTGTGTTTATCTTAGCCATCCTGATAGATATAAAATAATCTCAAAATCATTTTGATTTGCATTTTCCTGATGGCTAAGGATGTTGAACATTTCTTTAAGTGTTTCTTGGCCATTTGAGTTTCCTCTGTTGGGACTTCTCTGTTTAGATCTTTTAATTGGATTATTTAGTTTATGTCTAGTTTCTTGAGTGTTTGGATGGAGCTCTGCCTCACCAACCCGCAACTCCAGTCCCCCACCCCACTCCTACTGAGGTTCCAATCTTTGCCCAGTCTCAGAAAGCCTTCGAAATAGCAGCTCCTCTGGAACCATGCAGGGTATTTAAAGGACCTCCTAAGGAGAGACCATGTAGTTTTCCAGTTCCATGCAGTTCCCCTTCTCCTCTCTTGGGGCCAGGAGACCATCCAGGAGCGTTTTACTCATTAAACCTGGACTTTTAATTATTAATCAGGCTTGGTTTGATTGGCAGAGAGGCTTAATATCAGGGTATAGAAACCTTTCATTGAGTTTTTTATATATATATATTTTGGATATTAGCCCTCTGTCAGATATGGGGCTTGAAAATCTTTTCCCATTCTGTGGGCTGCCGTTTTTTCCCATTGACAGTGTCTTTTTGCCTTACATAAGCTTTTCAGTTTCAGGAGATCCCATTTATCAATTATTGATCTTAGTGCCTGTCCTATTTCTGTTCTGCTCAGAGAGTCTCTTGTGCCAGTGAATTCAAGGCTAATCCCCATTTTCTCTTCTATCAGTTTCAGTGTATCTGAATTTAAATGAGGTCTTTGATCCACTTGGACTGGAGTTTTATGCAGGGTGATAGATATGGATCTGTTTGCATTTTTTCTATATGCCAATATTCAGTTAGACTAGCACCATTTGTTGAAGATGCCGACTTTTTTCCATTATATATTTCGGTCTTTATCAAAAATCAGATGTGCATAGGTATGTGGATTTATGTCTGGACCTTTCATTCAATTCCATTGATCACCGTGTCTGCTTTTATGCCAGGCCATGCTGTTTTTATTACTACTGCTCTGTAGTACAGTTTGAAATCAGAGATGGTGATCCCTTCAGAAGTGTATTATATAGAATAGTTTTAGCTATCCTGTTTTTTTTTCCCCCTATGAAGTTGAGTATTGTTCTTTCAAGGTCTATAAAGAATTGTGTTGGGATTTTAATGGGGATTGCATTGAATCTGTAGATTGCTTTTGGTAAGATTGCCATTTTTACTATGTTAATCACCGATCCATGAGCATGGGAGATCTTTCCATCTTCTGGTATCTTCTTCAGTTTCTTTCTTTAAAGACTTGAAGTTTGTTGTCTGTAGTTTCTGTCCTGCCCAGTTCCTGCAATTCTTAAGTCCCAAAGAAATCACAGAGGTTTACATTAACTATAAACTGATTGGCCCATTAGCTCAGGCTTCTTATTAACTCTTATAACTTATATTAGCCCATTATTCTTGTCTGTGTTAGCCACATGGCTTAGTACCTTTTCAGTGGGGCAATCACATCTTGCTTCTTCTGTGGCTAGACAGGACTGCAAAGGGAGCTTCCCTCTTCCCTGAATTCTCCTGTTCTCATTGACCCTCCTCTACTTCCTGTCTGGTTGTCCCTATACTTCCTGCCTGGCAACTGGCCAATCAGTGTTTATTTCAAACGTAATTGACAGAATATAGACAATTGTCCCGCACCAGAAGTTTTTTTGAACGACAGGTCTTTCACTGGCTTGGTTAGAGTTACCCCGAGATACTTTATGTTATTTGTGACTATTGTGAAGGGTGTTGTTTCCCTGATTTCCTTCTCAGTCCTTTTGACATTTGTATATCAGAGGGTTACTGATTTTATTTTTTAAGTTAATCTTGTATCCAGTCACTTCACTAAAGTGTTGATCAGCTGTAGGAGTTCCCTGGTAGAAAATTTGGAGTCGAATTGATATGTACTATCATAACATCTGTGAGTAAAGATACTCTGGCTTCTTTTCCAGTTTGCATCCCCGTGATCTTTTTTAGTTGTCTTATTGCTCTAGCTAAAACTTCAAGTACTATATTGAACAGATTTTTCAATTTTGTGGAGTATAGGTGTTTAAAATATGACCTAATGATTAATGTGTGATGTTCAATGTGTGATTTAAGCTTTAGTAATTTTTTTTTACAAATATAGGTGCCCTTTTGTTTGTGACATAGATATAAAGAATTGAAACATTTTCTTGGGGGATTTTTCCTTTGATAAGTATGAAATATCCTTCTCCATCTCTTTTGATTAATTTTAATTTCAAAATCTTGCTCCCTTGGTCCATTTGTTTGAAAAATTTTCTATCCCAACCCCTTTCTCTGAGATAAAGAGTCTTTGAGTCATGGTGTGTTTTTTGTATGCAGTAGCAGGATGGATCCTATTTTCATATCCATTCTGTTAGCCTGTGTCTTTTTATTGAGATATTGAGTCCATTGATATTGAGCGATATTAATGTCCAATGATTGTTAATTCATGTTATTTTGTTGTTGTTGGTGGTGGTGGTGGTAGTAGTAGTAGTAGTGTGTGTTTGTGTGTGTGTGTGTGTGTGTGTGTGTGTGTGTATTTCCCTGTTTTGGGGGTTTGCTGGTATAAGATTATTTATTGCCTGTGTTTTTGTGATTGTTGTTAACTTCATTGAGTTGGAATTTTCCTGCTAGTACCTTCTGTAGGGGTGGATTTGTGGATAGATATTGTTTAAATTTGACTTTGTCATGAAATATCTTGGTTTATCTATGGTGATTGAAAGTTTTGCTGGGTATAGTAGTCTGGGCTGCCATTCCTGGTCTCTTAGAGTCTGCAAGACATCAATTCAGGCTTTTCTGGCTTTCAGAGTCTCCATTGAGAAGTCAGGTGTAATTCCAATAGGTCTGCCTTCATATGTTACTTGGTCTTTTTCCTTTGCAGCTTTTAATAATCTTTCTTTATTCTGTATATTTAGTGTTTTGATTTTTATGTGGCGATGGAACTGTTTTCTGGTCCAAACTATTTTGTGTTCTTAAACTTTTTGTACTTTTGTAAACATGTCTTTCCTTAGGTTAGGAAAATTTTTTTCTATGATTTTGTTAAATATATCTTCTGGGTTTTCAAGCTGGGATTCTTTTTTTTTTTTTATTTCTATTATTCTTGGATTTGGTCTTTCATAATGTCCCAGATTTCCTGGATGTTTGACATTAGTATTTTAGATATAACATTTTCTTTGACTGATGAATCTGTTTCTTCTGTGATATCTTCTGCCCCTGAGCTTCTCTTGTATTCTCTTAGTTATGCATTGTGTCTGTAGTTCCTGTTCATTCACCCAATTTTCCATTTCCAGAATTCCCTCCATTTCTGTTTTACTGCTTTCATTCCCGTTTTCAGGTCTTGAATAGTTTCCTTTACCTGTTTGTTTTTTCTTGGCTTTCTTGGCATTCTTTAAGGGATTTATTGATTTTCTTCAATTTTTTGTTGTCTTTCCCTCTTATTTCTCTAAGCGATGTTTTTGATTTCCTCTTTAAGGACCTCTATCATCTTCATAAAGTTGTTTTTAAAGTCATTTTGGATAGCTGAGCTCTGATGGTGCCGTGTTGTCCTGGCTATTTGGGCATCTGGGTTTGGGATAATTATAGGTCTAGGTGCTGATTTCCAAGTTTGTCTTTGTCAGATGGGTGTTTTGTTCCCTGGCTTCTGTTTGTTCTTTGGGTTTTTTCTGTCATTGTGACCTGGATTTCTTGTGGCTGGTGTGACCTCTGATCTAGTAGGAGTCTAAGTTGGGGACAGGCCTTCTGGTGCCTGGCTTAGCTTTTGTTGCAGCAGGGTGTCTCTGTTCTGACTGGTGTGGCCTGTGCCTGAGCAGAAGTCTGCTGGGGTTGGGCCTGGAAGAGGAGCAGGCCATGAGCTGGGAGGGCGTGGGCTGTGGGATGGCTCTTTGGGAACAGAATCTAGGAAGTGGGGCAGTTTAGCTGGCAGGTGGGTCACTCACTTGTTTTTTTTTTTTTTCTTTTTCTTTTTGTGTGTGTGTGTGTGTGTGTGACAATTTTTAATTTAAAAAAAGGAAAAAAGATGACTTCATCATGACTGTGTCTCATAGCCCCTGCCCCTCTTGCTAAAATATGGCAATGCTCACCAGTTACCTGACACTCAGGAATACTTCCAACATCAGTTTTCACAACTTCCCCCAGGGATATTAAAATAAATATGTGCAGACTCCCAATACTTGAGAGTCTAAAACGGGAGGACTGCTGTGAGTTTGCGGCTAGCCTGATCTATATACAGAATTCCAGGCTAGCCTGAGCTGTGGTGCGAGACCCTATTTCAAAGAAACAACCAAAAATATTTAACTTTTAAATATATAAGAATTTTCTTCTGTTAAAGTAAGTATCAATTGCTGTCTTATAATTTGCCTTTCTAAATATGCTCCAAGATTGTTGTGATACCCAAAACATTTCTATCTAGGAGTCACTAAAGAACAGCGTGACTAGCTAGAAGAGATGACTCCGCACTGGCTGCTTTCCCAGGGGACCAGCATCCACAGCCATCTGAAACTCCAGTCCCAGGGCGTCATCCTCCAGGGGCACCAGGCATGCATATGGTCCATGTACATACATAGAAACAAACACTCATACATTTAACGTAGAGTATAAAACTGTTCAAAGTGTAAGACAACCTGAAGAAGTCAGTCACACATGAAGCTCGTGATTTAATTACAGTCATCTCAGTGGGGTGGTGTGCTCTTTAACAATCTCAACTAAAACCTTTCCCTCCTTTTAAGAGAGATTCCCCTGGAGCTTCAGAGACTGGTCCATGGCAGCCAAGTGAATCTGGATATGGAGGATCATCAAGACCAAGAGTACATAAAACCCAGATTGCGATTCAAGGCTTTTAGTGGAGAAGGACAAAAACTTGGAAGGTAAAATTCCTCTAGTGAGAAAAATACTTTCTTGCTCAAAATGACATTTCATTGAGAATAAGAAATTAAAAATGACTTGTGAAGTAAAAATTGAAATACAAGCTATAAAGACCTTCCTGCTGGAATTACGTGTGCAACTTGGATAAAATGTTAGTAGCAAGTACCCAGAGATGAGTCCTCCTTACACTCGTTAGCTCATTGAATACACACACTGCTCTTGCAGATGATCCGAGTTTGCTTCCCCACACCCATCCCATGCTGCTTGCAACTACCTGTATCCATGGGCACCTACATATTCCCACATAGAAATGAAAATAAATCTTTTTTTTAAAGCAGCCCTTTAATATATGGATACTTATTACTCTATTTTAAAATAACAGTAATTTGCTCAGGGTATGATTGAACTAGACAATGACTAGAACCGAGTTCCAACCCAAGCACTCTGGGTGCGTACTTTTCCCTACTGTGCCATGTTCTCCGGTTGTGTTTTGGCCGCTTTCTCGCGTAAGTCTATAATGTATAGTGTTTTGAGCATACCCCCTGCACACACTGCCCTCCTCCCTCTCCTATGAGCCCCTCTTGTCTGGATTTGGTTCTAGGCATTTTTCTGTTCTTTGTGGGTGTGTTCTTTCATTTCTGCTCCCAGTCGCACAGCTTCAAAAGAGAGCCTGGCAAGTGCTGCTGACTGGAGAAAGAGTGACTATATCCCCCACCTTTAGTGCTGTGTCTGCCATGAATAAACTCTGAGATGCTGCGACAGGAGAGTGTGCTGCAGTTCTCTGTGCTTTGGAAGCAGCCCTTCGGTTCCAGCTCCAGCGCCACAAACCTGGCCTGCTGGCCCACACCTCTGATCCTAGCACTAAAGAGATAGAGGGTCACCCTCAGCCTTCTATCCAGTCTGCCCCCAGTTGCAGGTGTATATACTCCCTCATCCTGTTGCTAGCCTAGGCTATGAGAGCTTAACCTTGCCTCAAAATGGAGAAAGGAAATTGTTCAGTTTTAATATACAGAAAATTAACACTAGTGTGACTCAGTATACATAAATTCATATTTAATCAAATAGTACATTTTTCTAAAGTGAAAACTTGCACATAACATTTTACATTGGACATTTAAGAACTATATTAAGGTTTGATCCCTGGCACCAAAACTTAATAAGAAAGGAAAGAAAGAAAATCGAAACTAAAAAACTAGTAAGACAGCAGCTTAACAGTTGTCATTTTCTAAGAGCTCCAGTCAACTCCTGAAGTACAAAAAGGAAAATAATCCAGTTTTGTCCACTGCAGTAGTCTAATTACAAAGAGCGTACAGGCAGAAGTTAGCCAAGTTTTCTTGTGATATACAAGTAAATAGAAATAAGGAAGTCATGGGTGACAGCTGTATGTTTGCAAATGGTAGCATACCCTGCGTTGAGCGCAAATTGAGCTCAATAGTCTTCTGCTGTCAGGAAGAACCAGACGTGACCCTGGCCGAGGGTTTCAACTGATGATAAATGATGTAGCTGGGATAGATAATCTTCGTGTCTTTGTGCTGCCAAGTGCAGAAGATTCTGCTTGCCGCACAGTCTTGCGGGACTGAATCTGAGGTCAGTTCGAGTTGGTCCCTAGTCCTCGGGGATGCCCCTGCCTGAGGCGCAGCAGACCCTCTGACCTGCCTTCTCTGTCCTGCTGGTCCTGCTGCTCGTTCAGCCCTCGTCTTGCTCCAGCCTCTGGATCTTCTCTCTCAAGCAGCCCTGCGGAGCAGGTGGTGCTAGGCTCCCTAGATCCCGTGGGGCTGCTCCCAGGCGGCCCCTGCTCCCTTCCCCAGCCCCTAGTCTGTTCTAGCATCGCATGCTTAAGCACCCTTCCTTGCTTTGGCTTCAGAGGTTCTCAGGCCAATGGCAATGGTTTTCATGATACTTTCAGATTCCTGGTTTGTTCCTGTGAAACTCAGCTCAGACCCTTTCTTCTTGCTTTCTTAAAAGTCTTTTTGTATCTCTTAATTTCTCTCTTTAAAAAGTTTTTAATTTACCTTAAAATAAAAGAGTCTATGAAAATGTAGTTGGCTGCAGAGATGATCAGTGGTTGAGAGTGCATGCTGCTCGTACAGAGGACCCATTTGGGGCAGAGTACAACCATCTCTAACTCCAACTTCAAAGGACACAATGCCTTACCTGGTCTCCACAAGCACAAGGCAGGCTCATAATGCATATGTATATAAATGTAGGCAAAACACTTGTACACAGAAAAATCTTTTGTAAAAACTCACTGTAGTGTGATGGTCGACTAAGAGGGAGCTTTGCTGTGCACTGATGTTGTCCCAGCAATCATGAACAGGACCAGTTCCAGGCCAGTCTGAGCTACAGAGTGAGACACTGCCTTCAAGGAAGGGAGAGTGATTTTGAAAGTGAACACTGAATGTAGCGATAAGACCACAGTGCCTGTTCACCAGTAACAAACTTGGCCTGGGACAGCGTTCTGGTCGACCTCTGACTCAGCTTTTCGGCTGACATGGCTGCTGCACCCACTCCATCCATTCCAGTTTGTCAGTAACTCATTTTCACACACGTGTTTCTTACAAGGAGACATACTCAGGTGCTTTCTACTGAGGTTCCCTTCCTGCTCTATACTTAATTTTTATTTCAGAAAAAGCTTGCCTGCTTGCTCAGAATTTTTCCTAGAAGATGGGAGATGATGGAAACACCATCATGCAGCAGCTTCTGTCATAGGAAAAGGATAAGTCAGCTTTCCCCTTTCTCAGAAGGTCCCGTCTTCAAGTAGTGTAGCAACCTAACTTGAAGAACCCTTGTACCTGACGGGGTTAATCTGTCCAACAGAGCGGTACGCTCCCACCAGACAAGGACTCAGGCCAATGGGGTGGCTGACTCGGGGTCACGGGGCAGGTGGGTGAGGTGAGTGTACCGTGCTATGGATCATGTCTGTGCATGGCCACTGGTGAGGAGAAAGGACATCTGGGTAATGAATTTATTTTTCACTAATAGCTTGGAGCTATTTCTCTTTTACAAAGCAGTATCTACTTAAGACAAATGTTTTTAAAATTGTTTTAACAATGTTTTAAAGTATCAGTTCAGTTCTGATTATGTAAGCAAAATTAACTTTTGAGTTCTTTGTCCTAGGCATTGTCCTGAAGGACTTCATGGGGTAGTAAATGCACTACAGAATGCAGTCTTACAGAATTATACTGGGTTGATGTTCTTCCTCAAGTGTATCCAGTTAGAACATAGTTGGAATTTGAAGTCTATTTTCTTTATACTCTTGGGCATGCTGACATTAAGTCTCTGGTTTCTCATTTCTCCCTGAACTGTGTGCTAAACAGTGTAAGGAAAGTTCAGAGATGGGGTTGGAGAAAATGCAGCGAGGCTTCTGAGATATCTGGGATTAATAAGTAGAATTAAAGAGGCCAAAAGAAGTAGAGAAAACGGGGAGGAAGCTGTGGTCTTGCTAGGGAAGTCCTCAGAGGGGTCACGGCACAGCTGACTGCAGAGCTGTGGCTCGGCCACCTTCAGTGTCCTGTGTCCCGTGTACTCAGTGTGTCCTGTGTCCCGTGTACTCAGTGTGTCCTGTGTCCCGTGTGCTCAGTGTGTCCTGTGTCCCGTGTGCTCAGTGTGTCCTGTGTCCCGTGTGCTCAGTGTGTCCTGTGTCCCGTGTGCTCAGTGTGTGTTCTGATTCTTCTTTCTTCTTTCTTAGCCTTACACCTGAAATTGTCAGTACTCCTTCTTCTCCAGAAGAAGAGGACAAATCAATACTTAATGCAGCTGTTCTTATTGACGATTCTGTGCCCACTACAAAGGTTCAGATTAGGTTGGCAGATGGAAGTCGTCTGATCCAGAGATTCAACAGCACCCACCGGTGAGCTGCTCCCCAGCCAGGGGTCTTTTCTTCATATACTGTTGCTGATCCACAGAAAACTGTCAAAGTATAGGTAGTAGATGTTCTTTACATTTTCAAAGTAAGCTTTTGACAGAATAGTTAAAAGGATGGTAACTACCTATATACTACGTGAAATTGATGGTAATAATCGTAGTAAATGATCCTATTAGTCCAAGTTTAGACAACTCCAAATATATTAGCTGTAGTTTTGCATTGTAACTAAAACTGCATCAAATGGACTCAGATTCAAGATAGTAAGAATCTTTTGAGACTTTCTCAGTTAACATATTGGTCGTTATAACTTAGGATGGTAGTACACACCTGTTTTCATTCTTTGGAAGCTCAAAACAAGTACAAGTTTGAAGTAAATCTGTCTGAGCTACATAGTAAGGTGTATCTCAAACAAACAAAAAGTTTATGAAATTCTAATCAGAACTTTCTGTTTAGCAACCTCATATTGTAAATGCATGATATAAGTCATTTGTATTGTTGGTACAGTATTCTCTTATATGCTGTCTCATTCTCTTTAATGCTCACTTAAATATAAATATTTTCCCTGCACATAATAGTGCTTTCATTGTTCACTGGTTATAAGACCCTGATGTGCACTTGTAACGCCTGCGTCACTCTCTGCGGTACAATTGGCACTGCTGCACAAGAGGTGGGAAACTACCAGGCTCAAGAGTAAACAATGGCCCTATAGCTAACCAACCACCAGTGGGGGCAGAAGGAGCACAGGAACAAACGGTGTTTAGCCAGAACCTGAAACAAGAAGTTTGGCCAGAAACTGCAAGCGATCTTCAGTATGAACCCCAGGAGGAGGGGTAGATCTGTGGGCCCTACATGTGCTTATGGTCTTAGTTAAGTTACTAAGTATATGTGAGAATAATTTTTAAATTCTTTGTTATTATTTTTAATGATAGGATTTTACTGTGTGACTATATAGCTTAGGCTAGCCTCAGTTAGTGATCTTGACTTAGCCATACAAGAAATGGAATTATAGGCTTGTACCACCACACCTAACTTTTATATGTTTGAATGTGCGTGTGTGTGTGTGTGTGTGTGTGTGTGTGTGTGCGCGCGCGCGTGCATGCATGTGTCTTTCATAGTGTTAGAATTATCTGCTCACTGTCTACACAGATGGCTTAGAGGCATAGGCTGCCAATGGTTTTTATTTTGATTTCTTTTAATATAACAATATTGTTAATCCTTATTTTATACATAATTCACTTAAAGATTGTTTTTGTTTTATTACAAATATATACTCAAAAATTATTATTTTTCTTTCATAACATGATGAACTTTCCCGTTAAAATAATGTAAATTAAGTAAAGTTATAGCACCTTTAAACAAAAGTTTGGGATTATATCACTTTTTTCGTGAGAATGATTTTAGCTAAAAGTATACATGGAAATGTGTCCTTGCTACAGTGAACGTTTTGCTTATTCCTTCAGGGTCCTGGATGTCCGAGACTTCATAATACAGTCACGTCCTGAGTTTGCAACAACAGACTTTATTCTTGTGACTTCATTTCCGAGTAAAGAGCTAACAGATGAAAGTCAGACACTACAAGAAGCAGATATTCTTAATACTGTGATACTCCAACAGCTAAAATAGTATTGTTCCAACCCATGTAGGAATAGGTAATGTTGTGCATATTGGTAAAATACTTCCAGCATAAAAACAACCAAATTATTTTTATTATTCAGATAAATCCTGTTTTTGCTGTTGATCTGTCTTCCAGTATTTGTCTAGATGAATTTTTGAATGTTTGAATTTTTAGTTGCAGGTCAGGCTTATATTGGTTGATAGCTATAAACATCTAGGTCAACAATTTCTTACATAACAATTACTCAGTGTTAATGTAATAATGTTTTCAGATGAAGTGGAAAGAACCTCTTTTGGTAAAAAGAGGTAAAATTTGGTTTGGTAAAATTTGCACTGAAGTTTTTTAATGCAGCAATGACCAGTAACCAGTAAGGATACCTTTTCTGTAATATATACCAGTGTCTACTCTGAGTTTGAAATTGTTTGATCATAAAGTAATTAAGATTTTGCATATTGTTAATTTTTACATGTCGTTTGAACTATGTTAGTATCACAGAGTATATTTTGCCCTTGTATTTTATAAAATTACAACTAAATTTTAGTATCCGTAAAGGTCAACCGCTTTTGAGAAGATGGGATAAACAGAACTTTAAAGTCAAGGCATTGCAGTCCCATCCAGGCCTGCCTTGATCACTTTCATTTTCATCCAGCATTTTAACAGGGATCTGTTACACTAGAATCATTATTGTAGATGTGCAACACAGAATGTGTTGTTCTTCAGCGTGTGAACTCAGTCTGAGAGGCTGGAGCAAAACTTGCCAGCAAGATGTTAGTGTTTCCCTTGTCGAGGCACGCCTTGAGTGATGTGGGCAGTTTTCATCAGGAACAGAAAAGCTTGCTTCCCCGCAGACACCATTCCGTCCTTAGCCACCATTGCTGTGTACTTTTCAGTCGCTGAGGTAAGAAAACACAGAGCTTGTGACTGAAGTAGCAGAGATTATCTTAAAGGTATGTAGGTCGGATATTGAAAAAGAGTTTCTCTGCGCTAGAATTAAGGACTGCATGGAGACTCTAGAGAATGATTGCCTGGCTGCTGAGCCTCCAGAGGCCACCTGTGTTCCTTACCCGTGGTGCTTGCCCTCCTCTACAGCCAGCACTTTCACCTCCCTGAGCCTTCTGTAATTACAGTGTGCTCTGCTTTCGAGGACATAAAGACGAGACAGGATGCACAGGTGAACCCATGCTCGTTGCCTAGCGTTAGCTTTAGAGTGACCCTAATCACCCTTCAGGGTTGCTTTTCCACTTCAGTTACACCTTCTTGGGAGTGGGGGAGTTGATATGGTTGCTTACCACGGCCCACATTGTCTTGGAGATTCATCTACCAAATAAACTCACCCCATTCATCCACAGGTGCTCAGAAATCTCAACGTATCACTTCGACTCAAAGTCTAAAACCTTACCTGCATTTCACTGGTTTCAGAAGTCCCAAATCTTGTTAGGATGACCTAAATTAAGTGGAGATTCATCTCTGCCTGTGACACTAAGAATGAATTATCTGTTCACAGATAAATGTCAGGACAGCTATAGAATAAGCTATAAACATTGATGGTAAAAGGCAGGCAACAGTGAAAAACAGAGACCCTGTTACCAAGAAGCCTGCAAATCCAGCCAGACCTTCCATCGGCGTCTCAGGCCCAACATTAACATATGGCTCTTGTAACTTAGTCCTTTGAATTTTAACTGTCTACGTCACATTCCTTTTGCTGAAGCAACACAGCTTGTTTTTAATTCTCATATTGTGCTGTGTGCCTTTCATTTTATTTTATTTAAAAACCTCACAGATTGCCTATGTGTCGTGGAGATGGGCTCCAGTAAACAGGAAGCTCTTCCAAGCATCTTTCTGTAACAGAAATAATCCCATCTCTAATGTTTAGTTTTTCAGAGAAGACAGAACTGCATCATACCCTTGAGAGCCTTTTGCATGACTGAATATGCAAACCATTTCATTACATGTGTGGTGTGTTGCTTGTGTGCACGTTTGGATGTGTGTCTGGGAGAAGCCTGGATTGATGTTGGGAGTCTTCCTCAGTCTTCTTCCATCTTACTCATTTAGGCAGATCTCAGTTAAGCCCAGAGCTCACCACAGCAGCTACCGCTAGGCTGTCTCCACCTTCCGAGTTCAGGGATTGTGGGCGCCCATCCCACCCAGACAGCATGGCAAGCACTTTAGCTACTGAGCCATTCCAGCCCTTTGTGTTATCTGAGGGTTGTGCACCCACACCCTCCTTTTTCTGCTTCAGACTTTCCTGACAGTGATGTTGTTTGTAAATTACCTTCCTTCTTAAGTGTCTGTCATGAGGTAGGCGGAGAGCTCCACAGCCCTGGTGTCATTCTATGAATCACCTTTTCACACAGTGTTTCTGTTTCCTGTCAAACTTCAGCCAGGAAGAAGAAAGCAGGTTAAAGTTGTCCTGAATTCCAGCTTAGTCTCAAACTCCTCATGTCCAGCCCTGCTTTGCATGTGACTGTGCAACTCGGCTAAGCTTGAGTTTCCAATAGTGCTTCCTCCTGCTCTGAGCCCTCAGCAGCACAACCTTTAACACACCTTTTCTAAAGACTGCTCAGCCGTCTAGACATTCTCTGGTGACATAGGTTTTCTCTACCAAGTCTGAGCTCCTTCCAAGCCCTCTCCAGCACTAGCCTGTTCTACTAACAGTCTGAATAAAGCAGGCTGGGCTCTTGTCACCGTCCTCAAAACTGCCTTAGCCTCTGCACTGAGGCTATATGTGATCAAAGCTGGGATTTTTGCAACCTCCTGGTTGGCTAGAATGTGCTGTAGGGGACCTAGAAGTCTCTGGTTATTGCAAGGAAGCGAGCTGGGGAGTTTTGTTCTGCTGTTTGTTTTGTTCTGTTCTGTTTTGTTTTTGAGACAGGGTCTTGCTGTATATTCCTGGCTGGTCTGGCACTCTAATGAGTGTAGACCATGCTGGCCTTAACCTCACAGAAATCCGTCTGCTGCTTCTTCCCGAGTGCTAGGATTAAAGATCAGAGTGACCAGAGAGCTAAGACTTCAAGTACTGAGAGACACTGTGGCTACAACATTTCTATGCAGAATTTTTCTCAATCATATAGAGAAAAAAGATTTACCCTAACAATACAGGCCCAGCCCTGCTCCTTCTGCGCTGTTAAACACAATGTGGGTAACAGCTGTAATTCAGAAGATCATACCTGATAATACCTGATACCACCACTTCAGAGCTAAGGACAGACAACTGTGACCTAGGGGCCAGCCTAGGTTACAGTGTGAGACTGAACTTCCACATGGAGCAAATCAGGGTGGGCGGGATGGAATCAGCAGGTGGAGCAGGAGTGTGGAAACCACCTGCCCAGACCCATGAAAGCCTGGGATGCATGGTGGCCTCCTCTAGTCTCAGCATCTTGCAGGCAGAGGTGATCTCTGCAATCAGTGCTAATTAGACTAACTGAATGGCCTAGCTCCAGGTTAAGGCAGAGCCCCCCTTTAATAAAGAACAGGTGAACACTGTCAACTTCAGGCCTCTAAGCCCATACATGGTCTTGCATACTAGACTCTGTGTGTGCGCGCGCACGCATGTGTGTCCCAAACACACACACACACAGACACGGACTAATAGCTCCTTAGTCATTGTAAATAATAGGGGATTATCTGTATTAAAACAGGAAAAAAAGGTCCAAACCTTGTAAAACAATGTGACTTTTTCTTGTAGATTTTGTATCAGTTGTATTAAGTACCTACAAATGCTAAAAACTGACTGCCATTTTTGCATTCTTTCTGTCCAAAAGACAGAAGCGTCTGTTAGGACAAGAAGTGAAGGCCCACATGATGACCAGTCCTTTCACAGATGTTACAGGCTTTACTGAGAATCTGTTTATTCTGTTCTACTGTAACATTTTATTTATTTATTTTTTTATTTTTATTTTTTGAAAAAATACCAATCCAAGTTCCCACTCCCTCCCCTTCTCCCAATCCTTCCACATACCCTCTCACCCCACCCCCATCTAATCCTCAGAGAGGGTAAGGCGCATTGCCTTGTAGAAGGTCCAAGGCCCTCCCTACTATATCTAGACTGAGCAAGGTATACATCCAATGAGAATAGGATCCCAAAAAGCCAGTACGTGTAGTAGGGATAAATCCTGGTGCCACTGCCAGTGGCCCCTCAGTCTGCCCCAGCCATGCAGCTATCAACCACCTTCAGAGGGACTCAAACATTTTAAATGCATCATCATTATAAAGCAAGGTGGTACAGTGAATAGTCAGACTACTGTCTTGGGACAGCTGTTTTAAATGATAATGTAATATAATAAAAAAATAGTTGCAGTATCTGCTTACAAATAATGCTTTCATTCAAACTCGTTGAATATGTTTTTAAAATCAGCCTTTATGTGCAGCTTGATTTCAGTGGTTTACTGGGTTGCTTTGAACTTGAGTCTTTTCATATGGCTTAATTGCCCTTGTTTCAGGGCAGAGAAGGGTCTGAGGTAAGGCATTGTCACCTGAGTTTTCCATGGTTGTTTCTGATTTTATTCTACTACACGAACAGATTCAGGTACCTTCTGACTGTTTTTCCCTGTGTATTTCTGAAAACATTGGAAGTGTATTATATTAAGGTGCATTCAGTTTTCCCTGTAAGAGCTTGTATTCATGTTGATACATCTCTGGCCAGTAGTGCCAAAAGTTGGAGAAATTTTTATAATCTGTAAAATATTTAGTGTTCCTTGAATTTCAATTAAAGAGTTTATAAAAAGAACTGCTGCATATGTAAATGTGTGTTTACAAGTGTGTGTGCATGCATGTGTTTATATAGCCCAAATAATGACCATGTGACTTACACATAATAACATGTAGCTTTGCAGTTTTCCCTCTTGAAAGACCACGGGGCCGTGACCTAGAGGCCATGGGGAGAGTCCTCTTCAGACAGTTCAAACTTGATGGCCTCTTTTCCTTTAGATAAATGTTTTTCCGAGAGGGCAGGAAGACTCAGGATCGCTTGACTCTACAACTACCTAAAGAGTTCCCTTGAACGCTGCAGTTGACTTCAGAGGGAGCTTCTAACAGGAAGGACATCAGAAAGAAAGCTAGCAGTCACCACTGATTGTGTGATAGATGACACTCCCTTTTATTGCAAGATCAAATAAATGACTAGTAATTCAGTAGGGGGGACTTAAAGAATTAGCAACACAACCCTTTTTTTGTTGTTGTTGACAAGTTAAGGATTGTATGCTAATAAGAAGCACAAAAAAGGGCCAAGAGATTAAAAGTGGGTTAAAGACTAATGCTAAAAAGAAGTCCCACACTAGCTCAGAAGTGAATATAATAAAGGGTTATTTATTTAGGGGTAGACTCACAGATCACAGTCCTCTGAACAGGGAACAGCAACTGAATCCCACAGCCAGAAGGGAAGGCGATCATACATTTTACATTCGCATATATAGTATAAGAGGCCACACCCAAGTGGGCAGGTAACTTAAAGGATACTGGCTGTAGGAATTCCTACAGCATTTCCCCCTTCTGTTTAAATAAGAGTTCTAAGCTTCCTACAAAATTACATACAATAAGAACAAATATCAGGTATAAAAATAAGAATTACAACCAGCATAAACAATATATCAAGCAAGAAACATAATAAATGTTTCAATATTATCCTATCCTAAGGAGTTTAAGTCTTGTATTATAAATAACTTGGCCAAGTCACGAGAGGAAAGTAACCACCACAACTATCTAATCTTCAACCCCATCAAAGATCCGAGAAGGGAAATAATATTACTTGAGTAAGCAGGAAGTGCAATCAAGCAACTTGGAAAGTGTGCAACAAATGACAGAGACAACTGGCTACGTGGGCAATCACTCAAAATCTCATTTGCAATGTTGGAGCAACCAACTTTGACTAAGGCCTAGGGTAACTGACAGACCATTTTCAGTGGCAGGAAATTTTTCAAAACCGTCTTACCCTGTCTTAGCAAGATTTGACAGTCTTTTCTTGTATCCTGCTTGTCCTGTCCAGACATCATGCATTTTGTCAGTGGTCGATGCATGGGCAGTTCCTTGCCTGAAGGCCAGTTTTGCCAAGAAGAAAACAAGCTCCAAGTAGAGTGTCTTCAGTACTCAGCATTCTCTTGGGAATAGATCGATTCTGCCAGGAGCAGTCCTGTCTCACGTCAATAAAACCCTAAGTTATTTAAATGCCATACTCTACAGCTCTTTGAAGTTGTTGAAGGTTACTTATCTATGCAGAATACAACCTATGTATCTAAAGAACCTGATTAGTCTAATTATAAGTATGACAAACATGGATGACTATTAACCTATAATTCTTAATACCTATATAACTTAAAGACTAAGACCTCATATTAGAATATTAAACAATCTTTGAACAACTGTGCAGCAAATGAGGACAATGACCTCAAAATGTAAACAATGTATAAGTGTCTTGATCAGAGGTAGAAATGTATATTGTAATATGATAAATATATCCTAAAATTGTATCAATATACAAAATGCCTTAAGCAGAGGTAGAAGCATGCATGAATACAATATAACAAAATAACTTTACCTAGGTATGCAAATATTGTAGACAAAAATAGGAACATATTCAATATAATTTAAGTTTGTATCAATATACAAGAATCTATACCAATGTAAACTGCCTATAAATAATAGCTTACAAGTATTCACTCTATTACTCACTATATTATTAGTGTAAGTAAGCGCACACTAATCTATTATCCCATTCACTTTCCCCCTTTTTTTAAGAGATCCCTGAGCTTACATAGTTTCCCCCCGAACCCCCAGCCATATAGCAATGATAATCAACCCCTAAATGATGTCCCTAACCCTGAGGACAAACTTTGTTGGGAGAGGGGCGTCATCTTCTAGAATTACTTCTAGTTGTCATGGGACAATGTTCTTTCTATGGGGTCCTGTGAAAGTAAAATGATGGTTAAGTTTCAAGGTTACTGTCTGGTATAATTGCAAATAGTCTCTGAGTAGTCAGTAGGGTTTTTCTGAGGTTCTGTTGAAGGGAGCGGAGCCCCTTGTTCTGTCCTGCCCAGCTAGCAAACACCCGAAAAAATCACACAGAAACTGTATTCATTTAAACACTGCTTGGCCCATCAGCCCTAACCTCCCATTGGCCAACTCCTACATCCCAATTCAACCCATTTCCACCAATCTGCGCATTGCCACATGATTGTGGCTTACCGGCATGAGTCTATCCAGCAACTGTGTTGAGCAGGAGAACCATGATGTCTGTCACACTGCTCTTCCCAGCATTCAGCTTGGTCTAATCCACCTATCTAAGTTCTGCCCCATCAAAAGGCCAAGGCAGTTTCTTTATTCAACCAAAGAAAGCAACACATAGACAGAACCTCCTACACCAAGGTTCCTATTTGGAGTTCTGGCCAGAATGTTGTGAAAAAGTGCACCATTTCAGCTAACTAAGTTGGAACCATCTTGAACAGCTGATACCCAAAACTGGTCTTATAGTCATGATGTCATATCAACTAGGTGAAGTTGTTATTGTGGGGCCCTGTCTTCTTCCTGGAAAATTCAAAGATTACTGCAGGAAAATTCATTGTTCATTGTGGAAGACTTAAACATTATTTATACAGACATATATTCAATGAAAGGTATGATTGAGACAAACACAGGTTTGAAGAAAAGTAAATTTTTTTCTAAATTCTTTCTGTCTCATATCAGATGGTTCCTGACATGAGACAGAAACTCTGAATTTTTCTTTTAACAACATGCTTGGATTCAGAGGACAGAGCCCTTGTCCAACTCCAAAACCAGCTTTGATTTTTAAGTGAGTCATGACTATTATTCTAATTACTATTCAGAAATTCTTACCTTCAGATGACCTGTCCTCATAAGTGATAATTCTCTTTGCTTGGTGATTCTATCTGGATAATTATCTTTTTCTCTTTGGGCATCTAGATGTCTAGGGTCTCTTGACTTTTTGAAGATAAGTATTTTCCTGCAAAGACAAGAACAGAACACTGCCCCAACCCTTATGAGGTTTCCTTACCACCTGGTTGGTTGTCAGCTCTGTGGATAAACCGTCATTTCTCTTTCTCAAGAGATTTCTCTTTTTCAAACAGAATCTTTATTAATTTTGATGGTATCCATAGCTTTTCTTCTCCTGTAGAAACAAGAGCAAAACCTCTTCCCCAACGTAGCACATCTCCTGGCTTCCATTGTGAGATCAATACATCCTTGAAATACACCAGCTGATTTAACTCAGAAGACTGTTCTATTACCCAATGTCTCTCTGCTGCTGTTGTTCCCTTTCTCATTAGCACTAAGAAAATTCAAGGTTAATAAAGCATTATGTAATATATTTCTTGGGGTATTTTTCATCTCTTTCTGTTTGTTTAACATATCCTTTATAGTTCAATTCGATCTTTCTATAACTGCTTGACTGGATTTGTGGTATACCTGTAATATGCTTAATATTATGATAAGCAGGTACAGTCCAGCACCACTTTGGTTTTTCATCTTAGTGCTGGTTAAATACTGAGAAATATGCTTTCCTTGACAAATTAAAAGTAATTAAATGAATTCTATACACGGGGCAAGAAGCCTAGAACTCAAGAGCAGGTAGCACAAACCAAAACGCAGCAGTGGGCGGGGGTGCACAAGTTTGGGAAATTTCCAAGTTACCACAGGCATTTAGCTCCGCTATGGTGGGGGTTTTACAAAAAACGCTTAGTAGGTAAAAGCAAGCCAAGCAGGCAGGGGTGGGAGACATTCTAAGCTGTGGACCAGTTCGGCCTTTAAGCTGGTCCACCTGGCGGGTGTGGCGTTCGGATTCACGTGTGTGCCAGATGAAGACGGATGCTAAAAAGAAATCCCACACTAGCTCAGAATTGAGTGTAGTAAAGGGTTATTTATTTAGGGGTAGACTCACAGATCACAGT